GGTGCTTGAGAAGATTTTTCTAATATATTTTTATATAAAACTATGACTCCCTAATGTTGCCCCTCCCTACCCCCGGGGGTCATGATTTTTAACAATTTAGAATCTACACAAACCAAGGATGCTTCCACATAAGTTTCAGCTTTCCTGGCCCACTGGTTCTTGAGGAGAAGATTTTTAAAGATTTTTTCTCTATATTTCTATGTAAAACTTGGATTCCTTATTGTGGCCCCTCCCTACCGCCGGGGGTCATGATTTTTACAATTTAGAATTTACACTACCCCAGGATGCTTCCACATAAGTTTCAGCTTTCCTGACACTCTGCTTCTTGAGAAGAAGATTTTTAAAGATTTTTCCTATATAACTCGATGTAAAACTTGGATTCCCTATTGTGGCCCTGCCCTACCCCAGGTGGTCATAATTTTAACAATTTAGAATTTACACTACCCCGGGATGCTCCCAAATAAGATTCAGCTTTCTTTGTCTACTAGTTCTTGAGAAGAAGATTTTTAAAGATTGTTTCTATATGTTTCTACGTAAAACTTGGATTCCCTATTGTGGCCCCTCCCAACCCCTGGGGGTCATGATTTTTATAATTTAGAATCTACACTACCCCAGGATGCTTCCACATAAGTTTCTGCTTTCCTGGCCCACAGGTTCTTGAGAAGAAGATTTTTAAAGATTTTTCCCTTTATATTTCTGTGTAAAACTTGGATTCCCTATTGTGGCCCCGCCCTACCCCCGGGGGTCATGATTTTAACAATTTAGAATCTGCACTACCTCAGGATGCTTCCACATAAGTTTCAGTTTTTCTGGCCCAGTGGTTCTTGAGAAGAAGATTTTTTAATGACCCCACCCTATTTTTGTATTTTCTTGATTATCTCCCCTTGGAAGGGGACCTAGCCCTTTATTTTAAAAATTTAAATTTCCCTTTACCCAAGAATGCTTTGTACTAAGTTTGGTTAAAATTGGACCAGTGGTTCTTGAGAAGAAGTTGAAAATGTGAAAATTAACAGACGGACGGACAGCTAGACAGACAGACAGACAGCTACACAGACAGACGGACAGACATACGGACGACGGACAATGGGTGATCAGAAAAGCTCACTTGAGCTTTCAGCTCAGGTGAGCTAAAAATTTGATTTAGCAAAGAGAAAATATACTATGTTCCCTGTCTACGACTTTTTGGGACAACCCTCGTATTCTATAAACTAATACTTTATTAGAAATATTATTAAATTAGACCACGAAGATTGAAATTCTCAAAGTCAAGGCAAAAGTTTTGTCTTTTTATACAAGATTTTGTGCTTTAGAGTTACCTTTGATTGTATTAATTGGTATTATTGGTAACCTCCAAACGCGAAATATTTGCAATCTAATTTATTTTCTGTTTTGATATGGAGTGTGAAATATTTGTGTTTTGAGACCCCCCTCCATATGTGTATTATATTAATTTATGACCATTAAATATATGTATATGCATTCTCTTATACAGCAATTGTATCTGAACTGTAAACTTTTCCACGTGTACTATAAAACGATGTTTAGTAATTACTATTAGTTCATGTTCGGTAAATCCTTCACTTTCATGTTTGGTAAATGACCAAGTTTACCACCTTGTGAAATATGGACTGTGAATTCATGGATACGTAAAAATATGGACTCTTACAATTATACCAGCATTCATTATGTGTGTTTATTATATTTAACTTACAGTACATTGTGTAAATTGATCGTAAATACCGTTTTTCATGTGTGTCTATCAGCCACGTTCTTTCCTTTTTGGTCATGGCGATTCGGAATATTCTGATTTACAAGGGGGGGGGGGTATTTTACTTCGTCCTTGAACGTCATTATTTTGTTATGGTTAACTTGCGTGCAACATGCATTGTATATCTTTATGCAACTTACCTTCATTGTTTATTACTGTTTATTTGTTTTACGATTCGGCGTCACATCGTTCGTACTTTTCATGGTTTGTCCCACTTCGGCGATGTTGTTAGTTTCGTCTGCCATTTTGGTTTATACTTTCCTTTTTGGTAAGGCGCACTGCGTATGTCCGGTAGTTTACCTTATATAAGCGTCGCCACAGACGCTGAGGCTTCAGTTTGACTCTGTAAAACGTCTGCTCAACAACTTTAATAGAATTAGTACGTAAATATTGATATAACTAACGCTTGAAGAGTATTCTTCTGGTCAAAATTTGTCCGTTGTCTGTCGTGGTCGTCGTCGTAGTCGTTGTAGTCGTCGTTGTTTTCGTCGTAAACTTTTTCACATTTTCATCTTCCCCCCCCCACACCCCACCCCTGTAAACTTTTCAATTCTGATCTGATTTGTGCTTTTTCTTAGCCGATGTGCTCAGGTGAGCGATGTGGCCCCTGGGCCTCTTGTTACTATGGTTTACATTGGCCAAATAGATTTATTAAGGAATTCAACAGTCTCTACGGAGTTTTTATATAGTTTACATTGACCAAATTGTTTTATTGAGGAGAATCAACAGCTACCATTTTACCAAATAATAATTTGTGACCAAATCGTATTATGTATGTGACGTCCGATCTGACCAAAGTATTACATCACCATTGTTTGATTATTTGATTATTCAGTCATCTGTATTACAGCTATTCCTTTATAAAATCATTGTTGAATCTTATGTTGTGCTCTTGTTTGCCTCTGCAATGCAATATTTTACTGGACAACACAGGGATTTACTTACCAAATCAACAAGGATTACCAATACAAGTTTAAGTTTTAAGTTTTTATTTAAGACAAAGACCCCAACTGGGGTATATGAATACAAATAACACAAGTTTTTTTTTTTTTTTTTTTTTTTTACATATAAACAAAAATGCATGAAAGAATGAGTGGTACTAATGTTATTTCATGTACAATTCACATGTATAGTTCAAATAATAAAGTATAGAAGGCCCCTGCTTATTCAAAATTAAACTATATGTATTTATAACATTTGTTAAAAGTAGTTTTGGTATTATTATTAACATATTACTGACAGTAAAATTTTACAAAATTTGGCGAGCCCAAAAATAACTATAGACGTTCTATTTCAACTATTGAAGAGTTATAGTTCTTAGTGCGCTCTTTTGTGAAAAAGTCGGAGAATGTACAAATCTCGCGGAATTTTTGGGACAAACGTAACATAAACATGTAAACAACATGTTGTATCTAAACAAAATGCATATGAAATATTTTATTCTCGTGGACTTTATTTAAATCAAGAGTAGAGATGACTATGATATTAATTTACATCTATTGGTGATCGTATACTGTATTTATTTTTGGTATTGGTAGATTTAAAGGCAATACACATACCTCGGAAACGTCGTATTTTTTATTAATCGAGGATGAAGTTAGGGTTTCCGCTCTTTTACATATGTCTTTTAGCTCTTATATTCATAAGTTAGAATGATAAATGCACTTAACATTTAAGATTGGATTGAGACTGGCATGTTTTGTATTATCCGCATTGCCATGATGTTCCAGTCAGACGACCAAACGCGCCTCTAATTCTGAAGAGTTCACTAATGGAAATGCAACGTAACAAATTTCCAAGAAATACCATATATATTGGTTACAATGAAATATATCTCCTTCATTGGAGATTTGATCAATTATAAAAGTCCCATACCTCGGGCACGTTACATGGAGCTCAAGTGTACGCAATAATATATAATAAATATAATTTGTAGATATGAAGGGAAAATGTAGGCTACAACATGGGGTGAGCAATCTCTTCATTTTGGATACACCAGAGACCATGGATGAAGAAGGTTTTACTCAGATGAAGAAAACATTTGTTTCAATGATTGAAGGTACATATTTCTTTTGCAAGGCAATTTAAATAAAAAAAATAGAAATGTACAAACTTATCGATTAAACTTATAATGATGTCTTTTTTTTTTTACAATTAATATAGGTTACGCCATGCATCCTAATATGAATGAACACGTTGCAGTGATACAGTTTGGAAAAGAAAATAAATACCTGCATCATTTTTCCAACGATTACGAGTCTTTGAAACGAGTTTTAGGTCATTTATTTGTTTTAAAATAGTTATTTCCCAATAAATATTTTCAAAAGAGCACTATGCATACCATCTCTACTAAATAAATTCACCGACTTTCTGTCAATTGAGACATAATATATTTTTTTCGGCTTCGTTTATATTTACCTATATTCTGTCATTAACTCCCAATATAACTTAAACTCTGCTTTGAATTGATGTCTTGTTTTAGTGGTATCAAGTTAAAATATTTCCACTCATTTTATCTCAAAATGTGGAATTTTTGTTACGCATTATGCATATATGGCGTTACAAACATCAAAAATGGTGACTTTCAGAAATTTTAGCAAATAGGTAGCTTAATAAAGGTTTTATCTAAAACAACGGGGATAATAACTACAAGTAATGAATTCTAAATAATTCAGATGATGTCAGTTGTTCGGGTCCATCTACAATGATTGAGGGGTTTTCATTAGCAATTCCTGGTTTGAATGAAATACGTGAGTCTTTATTATAGAAATCTAATGGGAAACCCAAAATATTATATGATACAAACCATAATAAAGTACATGTATTATCCATTAATGTATAATTCAACTTTTATTTCGACATAATTGGTGATACCTAGTTATTTCCATTTTCAATAAAATTGTAAAGCATATGGACAGTAATTTAACAAATATTTTTTTTCATACAGAACGTATGACCTACATTGGTTTGTTTTCTGTCCGACTAAGACTGATACTTATTTCAAATGGAAGAACGACTTCTGGGTATTCAGATTTAAAATATCTTGACCATCACACTGATGAAGACCACGTAATTAAAACATTTTGACATTATTATTTATTATATTAATTATTATTGTTATTATTATTAATGATAATATTTTTATTATCTCTTTCTTTTCACACAATATATGATATTAATGTATGCTCATCTCGATTTATTTTCTAACACTTTAACTCATACATTTGATTGAAGAATATCCAGCTTTTACAACAAGTGAAACAAATAGGGAATACATATCCAATAATTTGTGTTCCGGTTGGAAAAGATCCAAATGTTGTAAGCAAAAAGACACCAAACAGCAAGTTAAACAATATTAGCAGCGAGTCTATTTATATATTAACATTTTATGTAAACATAAAAGTAAAAATGACGACCAAATATAAATATTAACATATATGTATCTTAAATAAAACTGATTTAATTGTGAAATCCGTATACCGTAGCTTAAAAATTTGAAATGAAAAATTCTATCGGTGATATATAATGTATACTGGTATATCTTCTGCTTTTGATAAAATAAGTTATTTTTAATACAAATGGTTGCATATGTAAAAAAAAAAAAATGCATGATCATAGCAAAACAAACCAATGATAATATATTATTTTATCACGTACAGAGCTTACTTGGGACAATTGCCTATGAATCTCGTGGAGGAAAACTACTAAATCCCACAGAAGCAAGAAAATTTTCTAGATACACTTTAGGAATGGTATTGTTTTCATGTTTTATTATTATTGTCTATTGGATTATGTTTAAATATTGTAATGTTATTTTATAATTATAATTATAACTATTATTATCATTCATTATTACTTTAATTTATTAGCAATAAAGATTTCTTTAAACTCATACCTCTATTATAATAAATATTTAATCGTAAAAATGAAATTTTCATTCATTTTATGAGATGATTGCATCAGAAATCATCGGTGAAATGCCACCCGCAATTTGTTCTATTAATGACGTTAAAAACGTATTCGTTTCTTCACGACATCCGAGTGATGTAACGGAAAATGACTTGGTGAGACATATAAGAGAAGTTTAGCAAACCAACGCGTACGCTCACGTGTACGTGTATCACCTGAAATCTGTGCATTACGTCATCAATTTTGCTAGTGATGAATTTTTACACGTACCCTTTTATGTGTAGATTACCAAGTACACATAAGTCTAAATTTGTAGGTTATAATTTTTTAACTCCTGTTTACTTTTTTCAAAGAAAATGTGCTTTTTTTCTAAAACGTGAATATTTAATGAAAATACTGACTAAAAAAAATGAACGTCAGTAATGAAAATATAAATTTATATTGAGTTAAAATCACTACATCTTGATTTTTGAAACATGCTTTGACCGATTAAAAATATAAGTGCTCTGTACCATCTTCTTCTTATAAGTACGTATACATGCATATATTTTTGTAAAACGATGATAAATGTATTAAAATTATTGTTTTTTCGGATGATTTTTAAATATAAACCACTTGTACAATTAAAACACTTACATGTACAAGTACAGGTACAGGTTATACTTTGCTAAACAAGAAAAATAATGTAAACGTGTACGTGTAAATCTAACTTGTAGTTTACACGTACATGTACACGTACAAGTGAGCTTGCTAAACCTCTCTTCAATTTTAAGGTTTTTAATGTGATTAACACAAATACACTTACATCTTATTCTTCATATTTGATAACCATTATATTCACCTCAAGTTAAGATAAACATTAAATGTAAATAAAATAAAATTTAATGAATATGAACTATAGGTGTATAACATCTTTTTGTGGTACCTAATATTATGGGTTTTTTTACTCGTTTAATTTAATTCTTTTCTTTTGTTCAATATATCTAGTAGCTGTTGATAAACAAATTTCGATTCTTCAAAATAGGAAAATGTTGTAGAGATATTAAACAATAGACGTGCATATGAAATGTTTGTGTACCTAAATGAGGAACATTTAGAAAAGGAGGTTTATACAGAACGCAGTGACCTTCTACTAGCACCTGGAACAAGAGTACGCAGAGGTCCAAACTGGCATTACGACAATCAGGACTCTAATGGTCCTGGAACAGTTACGGGACACTGGCAAAGAGGTATTAAGAAAAGGGAAATGCTACATAAATTTGAATATTGATTTAGTTTAAAGTATATTTTATTCAAATCTATTACATGTAAATGGATTGAACAGCAGGCATAATCACCCATGATCGTTCTCCCCATAGATCATGGTACTACATGCATTTAAGGTCTAATAAAACATGGAAAATTGAACATGTATGTAGAGTGGATTATCAATTCATTGGTAAATATTTAATATAAATCTATCGATCGATCGATCGATCGATCGAGAGAGAGAGTTACTTTATTTGGAAAATATTTTTTATCAAAGATGGATGGATATACGTTGAATGGGACACGGGAATGAGATTTCCTTATGAATATATTGAAGACAGTCAAGAGGTTAATGTAATTATTCCTTGCGACCAGCCCCGAATACTCCAAAGAGAAAACATTGCTGTAGGGTGTCTCGTTAAAAGAGGTAAATTGTGTACAATAATTGATTAAATGAACCTTTCATTATACATGTAATCCTATAATAATTCCGAATGATAAAGTAATTATACATGTATTAGGAACAATCTAGCTGAGATTATGTGAACAGTGCTTTTTTCCGGAGAAATTTGTATCTTTTTTCTATCATCAAATCAAAAGACATTCATGAAAAATTGATAATCACTACATATTAATTTATTTGGCTCTACCTTCCTGTTAATTTATCGATGCTATATAATCACGATTACTTTTGTATTATAAGGACCAGATTGGAAATGGGAAGATCAAGATGGCGGGGAGGGCAATATTGGAGCTGTTTATAGAGTCAAAGAGGACACAGTCTATGTAATTTGAAAAATGATAATCCAATCAATAAGTGTTTGACAAAATTTTGGCTATAGAAAAGAAATTGAAAAGTTACATGCTAAAATAGTTAGCATTTTCATAGATATTTATTTTTTACTTTGACTCTCTTAGGTACGCTGGCCAAATGGAAACAAAAGCAATTACAGATTTGGTTATGGCGGAAAATATGACCTTGTTTTCTGGTTAGCTGATATCTAGGATTTTCATTGCATTTTTGTGTCTTCTTCATAGCATTACAGTTAAGTAGAGATGATGGTGTCTGCAAGTTGTCTGTTGTTTTTTCTGCTTTTCTGTTCTGTAGGACAAAAAGCACATATAACTTGATAGTTAAAGTTTTAAATCTTGCTAGAAATAAATTTATTTGGGTAAATCAAACTAAGATTAGATGAAAATAAATATATCACTTATCAGCTTAGGATAAAAACGTTTTAAAGAATCTTTTCAAAAAATTTTGAATATAAAATGAAATATATGGAGATTTGGAACAGTACTCAAGCCAAAAAACCTATTCAACGGACAGCAGATGTGGGATCAGTACCCATGAAGGAGTGAGCATCCCTTGCCAACACAATCACCGTTTGCACTATGTCATGATCGGGAAAAAGTAAACGGGAAAATACAGTGTGTAAATAATTGTCCAACAATAAGTATGAAAAAAAGTCATTCAGCAGTTGACTTAATGATGGACTGTATTTACTGTCAGGGCCATTTTATCGAAATGATGACTTTATTTTTTTTTTTAATTCAGCGAATTTGATCTTGTAAATGAGCAAAATATGAAAATTGCACACAAAAGTATAGAGAGTCATTATTGTATAAGTTAGTAAATACGTTGTAGTTAATAGAATATTTTGTCTTTTAGTGATCCTTTTGATGAATGCCTAGTAATCTCGCAAAAATCCAATTTTATGTCAACATGCACCAGTGGGAACAAGAAAGGTAATTTTATTAGAACTTAAGGATAACAAATATAGGAAGATTTGACATGCTTTCACAAATATATAAATTTTTAAATAAAAATATTATTTTAATTTAGGTTTCAATGATATAGTTGTTTAAAATTAAGATAATGATTTTGAGCAAATTTGAGGTACATTTGTACATGTAACTATTGTAACGTTTTTCTGATTTATACCAAATTTTATTCACAAGTAAAAATGCATGGAATTAGGCAGCAGGCAAAGCCTGTTTTACTCCTCTCCTTTATTGTAACGTTTTGCATTGCATAAAATTTTGTTACTTATAAATTTTACAAGTTTTTTCTCCAAACTTTGCAGGAAGAACATTGTTTGAAACAAGAGAGCCCAGTTTTAAGGAAACGGGAGGGGTGATAGATTTAGAAAAATCTCATCAAAATGACTTAAACCCAGAAAGTTACGAGGAACAAGAAGGGGCAATTTTGTGGCAATGGAAAAATGAGCTAGGCAGATGGAAGAATTTTCCGAAGACAGAATATCAGAAAATCGAAAAATCATTTGCTAAGAATTCGAAATCAACCATACTCTTGGCAATAGACGAACTTATGTAAGTATTACTGAAGTGCATTAATGAAAGAAAACATCAGTTTTTAATTACATTCTACTTAAATACTTTGTGCTTTTCATTTGACGATTTTCACAGGTTTAGACTGGTTTTGTCGAAAATGAAGCTGATAAACATATCGTCAAGAGAGACATATGACGTGAGACGCTTTGAAAACAGTTAAAATCGAGCTACACCTTAATTTAGTTTTTAAAAAACATAATTCCAAATGTGATACATGTACATGTTGTAAAAATATACTGTATAAACAAAATCCATATTCACCATTTACATTTGCAAGGCAGGTAATTTTAGATTCAGATTAAATACATGTATTGTAATGTTTTGTCCTTCTTTTTTGGTTTGTTGTTTAACGTCGTCCCTCTGGATAATTTTTCAATCATATGGAGGTACAATCAATAAATTGCCAGTCGGATGGGGAGGCGTGCAAGTTTTATTAACCGAAACGTCGCATTGAGGGCCTTTGAGGTGAGATCTTTCTTTACTGTTTTAATAACTACTGCAACTAGGGACCACAGTTTATACGGTCTCATTCGAAGGTCCTGTCTTTATGTCCTGCAGTTGATTTGAGCCAGCAACGTTAAGATTTACTTAATGCTCCGTGCATCTAGAGCAGACGCCCATCCACTGCGCCACGCGATGGACTAGATCATTCTTGTGCTGTAGTATTGTGGTGTTGTATTGTTGTATTGTGTACGGAAGTCGGGAGGTGTCAAGTAGAAAAAATATTTTATCTGGCGGCCACCAGACAAGTTTTTTGCTGCTGCTAAATTATTATTCGATGGCCGCCACATAAATAACTGGCAGCTGCCAGATAAATATTTTGCGGTATGATTTTCTGTCGGCCGCCAGATTGTTATCTAGGGGAGGGGGTGCCAAATATTTTTCTGACGGTCGCCAGTTATATATGTTGAGACCGCCATAGAAAATAATTTTCTACCTGGGACCTTTTGGCTTGCGTAGTCGTAGTATTGTTGTGTTGCAATATCAAAAGTTCTACTGTCTACATGTTCTTAACTATAAGCCATCCCGGATTGTGAAAGAAGAGGGCATTTTAAGAAGAAATATTGACAATGTTTAAAAGACTGTTTTCGAAAATAAAGTTTATTTAAATATATTGATGTAATTTATGAAGTTCTTAAAACCAGGACGGATGTAAATTTCCATATATTTCAAGGAAAGCGAAGCATGTTTACATAACTGAAATGTATATACTTTGAATTAAAGAGATTTGTTGTATCGCCCAATGAAGTACAGAAAAATAGATCCATTTGTGTCCTTATATATATCATCATGACAAAACATATAAATATAACTAGCTATACCAAACCATGATCTTATTCCACTTTATTTCTAGTCATTACTTTCGGCCTCTTTGATATATTATATATCCCTCAACTTCCAGTTGAATCGCATTTTCATTTATTATCATAATGTTATTTATATTTATTTTAATCGTTCTTAAATCTTATTATTATTCTTTTTTTTCACGTGATTAGCTAGAAAAATGATATTTAATTTCTCCCTTACTTTATACATGTATGACATAATTTTTTGTCGTGCCACACAGAACAGAGTTTTGAAAATGTACATGTATTTATTGAACGTCATTATGTACATATAGCTATTCTAAATCTGTATAAGCTCTACTTGATACATGTTATCATCAATTTCACTGATCTTGTAAGTTGATTTTATGCAAGGTAGTACAAGAATCACTGAAAAATAGAATTGTCATGTGCATCCAGGATTAGATAATAGTTTTTTAGCCGTTATAATTCTCTTTAGCTAGTAAGGATAGAGTTCAAATGCAGCTTTTAAAAAAATACATTCAACAAAGCATCTAAAGATCAATCTCTACGGAATACTATAAGGTGGAAAGAATCGAAGTTAAATGAACACAATGTAAACATAGCCTTGTTTTTAGCTCACATTAGCCAAATGCTCAAGTTACATGTAGCTTTTCTGATCAAAATGTGTTCATTGTCTGTCGTTGGCGTCGTCGTCTTTGTTGTTGGTGATGTCGTTGTCATTGAAAATTTTTCACAATTTCATCTTATTCTCCAAAAGAACTGGGCCAATTTCAACCAAACTTGGAACAAAATGTCCTTGGATAAAGAGGATTCATTTAATTTAAATGAAGGGCCATATCCTACTCTATGGGGAGATAATGAGGAAATAGCCAAAAATAAATGAATTATTGAAAAATCTTCTTCTCAAGAACCAATTGGCTAGAAAAGGTGAAACTCATATGGAATTATTTTCAGATAAATTGTTTAATCATGACCTCCAGGGGTAGGGTGGGGGCAAAATGGACGATCAAAGTTTTACATAGTATATTGGAAAGTTTTTTAAAAAATATTTCTTCTCAAGAAAAGCAAAGCTATGATTGGTCATATTTATTTGAAAGCATCCTCAGGTTGTGTTGATTCATGTTTCTTCAAATCATGACCCCTGGGCGTAGGGTGGGGCCACAATTGACCATCAAAGTTTAACATTGAAGTATATAGGAAATATCTTCATAAACCTTCTTCTCAACAACAGCAAAGATCTGATTGGTCTTATTTATATGGCAGCATCATCAGGAAGTGTAGATTCAAATTAATCAAATCATGACCCCTGGGTGTACGGTGGGCCACAGTTAAAGTTTTACTTAAGTATATATACGTGTACATTTAAGAAATAATTCTCTCAAGAACAGCAAAGCCATATGTCATTTATATGTGGAAGAAGTAGGATGGGGCCACAATGAAAGTTCAAATTTGTGGGCAAAAAGTCACAGTTAGTCCTAAAAATTAAAGCATCATTGGTAGGAAGTACTTAAACATTTAAGCTTTTTAATGCTAAACTAATTTTTGCTTTTTTTTCCTAGCCACAGTGCTCAGATGGGTATTGTAGCCCATAGGCCTCTTATTAATGGGTAGGAATAGTTCTTCAACACTCAGATGCTTATTTTACAGAAATATGGTTTTTTTTTGTTGTTCTTGTTTCTCAATCGTTCTTCTCAAGAACTTTTACTCATAAAGCGACACCTATTCTTGCCGGTGGAGGACTACAAATTTATAACTCATCCTCGCTATTCATTGAGCAATGCAGGAACTTTATCGTGCTTTCACCCACTACGACAAGAGACCTCGGTTTGTAAGGTTTCGTTCGAATGACCGGTCTCTGCATCTCGCAGTGGATACGAACCGGCTGCGAATATAGAAACTGATTTTTTCCTGCGTATCTGGAGCAGAAGTATTAGAGTTTCTGCTCGAGAGTCGCGAAGTAAGAAAATATATTCTTACTTAGCGGGTTCTAATCCAACTGTAGGACATGGAGACCAGTTACTGAGTTCTTCGGAGAGACCGTATAAACAGAGGTCCCCTGTCGCATTAGTTGATGGCACGAAAAAGACCCCTCACTGCTCAATTGCCGTAAGTGCTGAGAATAGAACAAAATTTGTTGTTCTCCATCGACAAGTGGTGGTGTTTCTATATGAGTGAACAATTCTCGAGAGGGATGTTAAGCAATATCCAATCAATCATATAAACACTGCACCAGGTAGGCGACCTGTTGTGTTAGTGGATTCAGTATTAAACCAGTAAACCGTTTAATGCGACCGTTTTAGAATTGCATCCAAGAAAAGCAGAACTCTTTATATGCATTCACTGCAGAAAAGACAACGTAAAAAATATTCTGATTTGATTACGTTTATATCCTGACTTGAAATCAAATGAAACGGTTCTATATAGGCATATTTTTGTTTCAATTGAATTATTCATTACCTGGAACTAAAATTGTTAATGTGAAAAATAACGAAAAAGCAGGTAATGTTTGAAAAGCATTCGTTCACAAACAATGTATAGCATACGCATAAGATAGTATAGCAACTCTGTGTACCGACTAGGAAGTGTAATTCAAAAAATCTTTTCTTGCAGAGCAAATACTACATGTAGTAATATATGTAGTTATGGTTAATACTTGAAATATATGAACTTGAGGAAAAGAATTCAAACTCAAAAGTCAATTCCAACAGTATACAATTTAACTTGCATTTACATTTTACAAGTTATGTTGGATAATTTACAATAAACAAATTGTGATAGAACAATCGATAAATTATGAAATTATGATTTACAATTTACAAATTAAGGTTTCAATGTGTACATTTTATGAATTACAGAGTTGGAATTTTGAAACTATTGGCTTTCCATAAGCATCTGCCGACAGATAACATCCGCCTTGTGGTCCTTGTAACAGTCGGGGAATGATGGATAAGGAAATCCTTTTTTCTCTATCGAAAGAAAATTCAAAATTGTTTGAAAAAGAAAGGATGATTTTCATTTCCAGTGTCAGCATTCTTATATGATTGATTGTGTGTTGTTTTTCATCCCATTCGAAAATTGCACTCATATAGAGACATTATACCACAGACCGGTGACTTCAAATTGTTACCCTTACTTGGCAGTGGAGTCCTTTGAGCAGTGAAGGATCGTTATCGTGCCAAGGTCTGCTGTTACATGGGACCTCGGTTTTTAAGGTGAAACTGAATCATATGGAGATATCGATGTCTCATCCGAAGGACCCGTAATTTTCACTTCAAAGTGCCGATCACTTGACAAAGGAACATTTGCTTTCAATTTTTTATCGACTTAGGTCATGATCAGTCGCTGTCGAGATTCGAACTCACAACCCCACAACCCCCCCCCCCCCCCCCCATCACGAAGCGAGAAATCTACCAACTGAACTGCAATGAACGGTCTTCTATAAGATAAAACCCACCATGCTTAAATTATTTTTGAGATAAAAGGAAATGCGAAAGAATCCTATTAACCTTACTAAATGCTAATTTAAAAGATTTAAAGAAGCTCAAAAAAAAAAAAAAATTAAAAAATCATGGCATATTATAAATTCTGAACCAAAATATCTTTTGAATAGTTACAAATATAGCGGCAATCCAGGAAGATTTATTTTTGCATGACTGTATACAATGAAAGAGGATTAATGAATGTTTTTAAATCACAAGGAAAAATTTTTATTTTCATATCTCTGTTGGAATATGTTAAATTTTAAGTGAGTATTCATTTTTTCTTATATTTATCTAAGTCAAATTTAATAATACCTTTTTCCTTATTTCACTTATTTCAGATATATTAGAAAATGCAATGTGGAATGGAAGAAATGCAATACTGGCATCAACGAGCCAGGGACGAAGCATTTGAACGTATGTCATTTTTTTGAACTGACACTTTAATGAGGCATTTTAGGAAATAACTATAGAAATAACTATATGTGATCTAAAATGCCTATTTTATAAAGCTATGGTCTGTATCAGATAAGGATTTTCCCCCATAAGAAAATCATTCAAAAACATCTTTAAAACGTCTTTAACAATGTTCCCAAAATACAAATTAACGAATTTGGACACTCCTAACAAAACATACTACTGTAAACTTTAGTTTACTATAGATAACTATTGTACCAAATGAAACATATGGTGATGATGAACAGTATTCAAGATAAAAAGTCCATAAACCAATACAAAATAGGCGCAGAGCAAACACAGATCTCCAAAACATCGGAGGTGGGATCAGTTGCCATAGAGGAGAGAGCACTTTGGAACTTGGATTAAGTATAGGAAAATCTTTCAAACTTTGATTAACTATAGTGAAAATTTTCGAACTTTGATTTACTAAAGTGAAAACTTTGAAAATTTTATTTACTATAGAGAAAACTTTGAAACTTTGATTTAATATGTTTGAAACTGTGGACCTTTAATTTACTGAAGTTTACGGTATAAACTATAGTCAACAATAGTTTACTATAGAATTTCTTGTTAGGGTCATAAGAAAATGTGTCTTAATATTCGGACGAACACAGATACATTTCTTGACAGATATATTTTTCTTCATTAAACGATTCTCATTCTATTTTTACCTAAGACCTTGTCTTTTTCATGAATGTGTATCTACTGATGCTCAATCAACAATTATATGACACCAAAATTGGATTGTTTTAATGTTGATTTCAATTTTCATTAAAACAAATTCTTCACGAAGAAAAACAATGTTAACTGGTATTTCAGAATACAATTCAATAATTATTATTGTGAAATATTTTACATTTAAGAACATTGAAGATGTACTGTCTTCCATCTCGTGGTTATTATATAATTCTTATTTGAAGAATATTTGTGGATTTCTCGATTGTTATTTGTATCTTGATTGCTAGTTCCAAACTTACAAGAAGAACAAGAGTCTGAGTGTTATCTTTTCTGTTGTTTTCTACTCCTTTGCAGTAAGCTAAAGTTAACATGAATATAATCGTTATAGAAACATAGAAAAAAGGGTGTAATCTTAGCAACATATATCAGACAGACTTAGTAGAATTATATAAGATTAATTTGCATATTTAAAACTTTATTTCTTTAAATAAAATATTAAGATTTTCTATCGTTAAATTTAATTTTTAAGTTTTAAAGAGACAACACCTTCAAGGAAAGGGAATGCGTACTGTCTTTCTACTTGATTCATCAGAGAGCATGGCCGGAGAGGGGTTTAGGCAGATGAAAAGAAGTTTCTTGGACATTATAAATGGTTTATACTTTTTAAAATCCTATTTGTGTTTCTCATATCTCGATATTACCTTTACTGCGTTTAACAATGGTCACCAATCGTTGATTTTTTCCCTTTTATATAAAACAGAAATCGCTGATCACAGGGAGGAAGATGAAAACGTGGCAGTGTTGTGTTTTGGTCAAGAAGTCAAGTTTCTCCACTATCTATCGAACGACTATGAATCTATTAGGAAGTGTATAGGTAAGAGTAATAAATATTATTTAAATTTAAATTAGTTCTCTCTGCATATGAATAATAAAATGATTATAACTATAGGAGAGGAATAGATTTTTAATGTCCATATAATTTTTCTTTTTCAGATAGAATTGAATGCAGGGGAAGTTCTCCTATGGAAGCCGCATTTCTTCTGTCTACATCATGTTTTCTAAATATAAGTGAGATAATATATAAACTGTACATCTATTCTATATATCGATCGATTGACTGGGGGGAGGGGGGGGGGGTTTCTTTTGTCATTTTTCAAATCTTTTTGCTTTACATTGCATTTTGATTAATGTAGAGGAATAATCGTGTAATAAAAAAAAATTTAATTTTAAGGATTGTCATAATTATTGAAATTAAATCCCCGCATAGTGTCAAGTTACGGACCGGAGTCCGCATATAGCTCTTTCTCCTACCCGTAGCTGCTTGATCACAAAAAGTGTCGTAATCTTGAACATTTACGCATCTCTATTGTGACGTAATATTCAGTCAATGACAAGTTTTGCTTCCATCGCAATTGAAATCAACAATTTACATCAGCAGTATTCCGTACCCTGTGACTGGGTATTGAAAAGTCGCACCAAAGTTCATCATCCGACTATGTTTTACTCGCATTGGTAAATATTTTAATGAGCTACGAAATATTCTCTTCTCATGCAACAATGGCCAGAATGGGAGAGGATCGTACATTTTTGCCGTGGTTTGCGACGATGATGTAGTAATACTAATAAGGTTAATTTCCTTAAAACTATACAAGAAGACAATCAAAGGAGAAACACTTGACTTTTTAAAATAAAAATAAAGTAAGCACTTTATTTTAGGATTTTATGTTGTAGGCAGCCTTTTACATGTAAAAGATATTGTTCCGACAGCAAGGACCATCTTGATAACGGATGGTCGACCGACAGACCCTATAAACATAAACAAACCCGAACCCGCACTTGTCTCCGAAAACCCATTTAGTATGGTAAGTATTCTTAAAAAACAGTCTTTAATTTCTCTATATACTTAAGGAAGTTGGATTCTGATATTTGAATTTTTGCAAATATAATCTTAGTTTCTGCATACATATATAGCCTTACTAAAAATCAAAACCACAAAAGGTATCAATATGCTTCTTTTGGCGCTACAGTACATATATATTATGACCTTTTTGCAGTGAAATCTGTGCCTTAAATAAAAATCACATATTTAACGTTCTCCTTGGATTTTTTTTTATCCAAATTAGTCATGGAATAAAATAAACTATAGTCAACTTAAAAAAGATACTTTATAATTGTAACTCAGAAAAAGTGTCAAATTGCTTTGCATAATCAAATTTTTTACCTTTCTTCACTCACAAAATGTGATTTTTCTTGCATTGAAAATTTGACAATAAGAAAATTATTTTAAGAATTGAACCAGATTGATACAAATTATCTTATATATTCAGAAAAGAAAAACAATAGTGGGGGTCTATGATGTAAATTTTTATATATTACTAAAACGTGTCAATTTTATGCTAAAATTGGCTCAACTTTTTCTTGGACTTTCAGAATATATTTATTGTATTTGTAACAAATAATGGAAAAAATTCCTAAGAAATAATAAAACAGATATTTCCGAATGAGCATTAAACATTTCCCTGCAAAGAAAAACAGTTCTGTGCCCGACCAGCATGGAAATAAAGGAATCTAAACTAATTTTGAACAGCACTGTATATAATTTAAGAGAAAAATTGATCATTTTCTTCAAAAAATAGACATTCCGTCACAAAATAAGTTCCTAGCTTTACCCTATTTGAATTGAATGAAATTGCGGTATTTTCATTGGAAATACATATAGTTTAATTTGCATTGTAGATTCCAGATTTATTGTTAGAACTTAAAAATGATGAAGAATTTTAGAACGCAATGTTTTTTATATCGATTAGTTTAATATTAGAGTAAACTGTTTGTATTTAACTAGATGTTTACATAACATTGTTTGTTACATGTAGTTTATAACAAGATTACGAGCAACTGTAACGACATCTGCAATGCTGGGTCCTGTTTTGTTTATTCCTGTAGGATCTGATCCAAATAAGGTACATCCAAACATGATTTCAAATTAGCGTTTCCTCTTACAATGGGAGTCTCAATCTTTATTGCATTTAATGTACTAATAATTTACTGTTAAATCAGTCGTGCTTTTAAGTAACAAACTCTGATTTCACCCTATAAGAAAAAAGTTAAACTGGATATTTTATTGAAAGCATGAAACTGTTGGACCCTTAAAACAAAAACGATGGAATTGACTCCCATGAAAACTTGAAATTTCACATTTAAAATTACTAATTTCAAATTAAATTTTTTACAGAATTTATTGGAATTTATCAGCAACGAAGCAAAAGGAGTGACAGTAGTTCATCATCGTGCTGTGCAACAAGTTGGCCGATTTTCCAAAAATATGGTGAGAATATAAATGAAAAAATATCCAGCGGTCTTATTAGAAATTTGATTTGATATTTATCACAATAAAAATAACACTTGGTTCAATTTTACAGAGCATAACTTCACAACTGTTAAGATACAAGTCTCCAAAGGAAATAACTGCTGCTGATATCAAATCTGCTGTATTTCAACACTCATCCTATGTAACTGACAGAGATATTGTATGGGAATTTTTTTCTTATAATACTTTCTTTATTATATTTGTTTTTATTTACAATGTTTACAAGTTTGAGGAATGTCCGTAGAGTTCGCACACAATCTCTTATTCAAAGTGTTGACACTGTGAAAAAAACCGGGTTTATAACATAATTCAAACTTTACTTTTTATTATCAATTTTCAAGAAAATGCAATTCATATTGAAAAATATAAATAACAAGCTTTAAAAAGTTTAATTATTTGCACACGGAGCATATAGCCACAGTGTATAAAGAAAACATTAGATGTAACAAATGTTTTTAGGAAATAATGTCATATTTTCTCAATGTAATACTTTCTTTTGTGTCGTTAAACTTTTTGTATGAAACAAGTCTTCGTACTGACCAGTTTTATGACACATAAGAAATTTCATATGATCTACAAGGGGTGATCAAAAAGTTCGCGCACTATCTCTATATCTAATAAACCACAATTCAGATTAGAATGAAAATCGGTACATAGCCATACACAAGGTCTATAAATAGCATATGCTGAATAAAGTTTTGCTCCTTGTTTGTGACGTCACAATGTGAAAATAACGTCACTGTGTAGGTCACTTGTGACGAAAAATGGTTGTCTCAGTCAAACTGGTTCAACAAACGACTGTACAATTTATCATATATCTTAGAAATCCCTCTGCAGTATCATATAATAATTTGTACACAGTTTATTGAGATAAATGAGTTCCTATAAATTCAATTAATGATTGGATTGATCGTTTTAGTGAAGGAAGCAGATGGTTAAAAATGATACTTGTCGTCTTGCCCAGTGAAAGCAAGTTTGAAAAGATATATATTTTTAATTAAGCAATTTGCTATCAAAGACCTCAAATTAACACTTTGAAAAATAGTTGAAAATTTGAACAATAATATAATAATGAAATACCAAAGATATCGTTCACTTTAGATTTTAAACATATTAGATATGATAAAAAGGAGGCATCCAATCTCTATCCACCTTGAATAAAGGTCTCTCCCGAGACAGAAGATTTGTGTTTTAATGGTCGCCATGCTTATTTTTGAAAGGATCTTCTTATCCACCCATTCTGTTGCCAAGATATGACCATTTCTGACAAATGAACTGTTTTTGTCATAAAAATTAACTCACATGGAAAGAAATATAAAACTCAGAAAATCTTTCAACTTTTGTGACAGAACGCTACGGAGGGGGTCACGTGACCGCCAAAATCACGTGATTCACGCATGCGCAGAACGGTGGCATTAAAATTGGGGAGGATTAATTTAAAGTGTAATCAACATTGATACCAAATATTGTTTCTTTTATGGAAGTTATTCAATTAGTTCGCGAACTTTTTGATCACCCCTCGTATTTTAAATAGGCGAACTTATGATTAGTACTCAGTATCTCATAATTTAACTTTTAGCGCGATTTCTTATGCAGGAAAAAAAAAATAAAAACTAGAAATTCAATGTGGAACCGTCTTTTTGCGTCATGTAACGTACGATACCTCTGTTTCATGACTATAAATATCATAAGTGATCTGAGTTTTTGCTTAACAATTCAAAAAAGAATAAATTGCTAAAAAAAAAAAAAATTATGGAAAAAAGTAGTTTTGTCATTGACGTTTTTATTTGTAAGATAAGCACCTGTCCAAGAAATTTACGGACAGACCCTAATATGATATTATACGATGACAATATACAAGAAAACACATCATATTTAAATGTAGTCCTAAAGCACATAATAAGAACTCATGATTGTAACAAACTCATATCCCTTTTATTCCCAGGAAGATATTTTGGAAACATTAGGAAATCAGAATGTGTCAAGTTCAAAAACTATGTCTGATATTGTCACTGACATGAATAACATTGATGAAATGTTTACGGAGCGATATTCAGATATGCCTTCTATTGGTACCCGAGTCAAACGAGGACCCGACTGGAAATGGGGAAACCAAGATAGCATGGGCCCTGGAACCGTTGTAGGACATTCAACAGGTGACTCCTGAATCAAAACAGACGAACACGAAAGCTTGAAGTTTTAACCATTAAAATAAAGTAGATTTTGTAAAAATAATGTAAACGTTCATATCAGCAACCGATCCTTTGCTTATTTGCTCGAGAGTTTTCATTCATACAGAGACGCCATACGGAAACGCCAATTATTAGCATTGATAAATATGATAAAGATTGAAAACCATGTTTGTTAATGTTTTGTATAGTCGGTTGGTTGTTCGTTGAGTGGGACAGTGGAAGGACATGTAACTACAGATACGGGAACGATGGACAGATAGCGAAATATGACTTAATTGAATGCGATGAACCAAGAATTCTTTTGTATCATCAACAAATTGCTACTGGTTGTTTAGTTTCAAGTGGTATTTACATGCAGTACAAGAATTAAACATCGATTCTACCTAAACGTCTCAAATTTTTCAACAAATCAAAGTGCATATACGCTGTGTGTCACAGAAAAAGTAACGTTTAAAAATATTTAATGTGTTCATATTACATTAAATTTAAGGACTGTTCAACACCTAGCTAATCGGTTTGTTTCATCTATTCCCGAAAACTCAACATCTTATTTATTTACTTCAAACCCAGTCTTAGTTTCAATAATAATATTTTTGAAACAATAGTTATTGATTTTTTACAACAAGGACCAGACTGGAAATGGGATGACCAGGATGGGGGAGAGGAAAACATTGGAACAGTTTACAGAGTACAACAGGAAGTTATTTATGTAAGACAACAAACTATCATATTTTTTAAAAAATACTTACATATACACATATTCTGATTCATTTATTAATGTGGTTTATCTGCGGCGTATGTGCTAAAATTATAGCATTTGATTTTAAGGTGAAATGGCCCCATGGTGTGAGGAGCAATTATAGATTTGGATATCAAAATAAATTTGATGTTAGAATACGGTATATATAATTTTAATTTTATTACACACAGTTCTCTTTTGATATGTATAATTTGGTTAACTTAAAATGCATTAAATTTATTTTTAGTGACCCATTAAATCCTTCAGTTATAGAGAGACTATGTTTTCAGCGTAGTACAGAATTTAAGAATTCTATTCCTTGCGAACAAAATCAAAATGAATCAAGTCAAGCCTCCATGTCTAATACGATAGAAGGTAACATTATATTAACCGTTTTTATCCCATGTTCACCCCTTTATTCCGTGGATATGTCTCATTCCATATTTTTTGGTATCCATCAGTTGTGACGTAACAATGGGTTTTGCGTTAGCGTGATTAAGTAAAATAAAGTTGAGTTAAGGATTGTTTTCAAGTTTTGTGTGAGTTATTGGTGTGTGAATTAGACAGACTTGTCATTTAGGCATATTTCATGAAGCGCTTGATCTAGCGCTTCGTGAAAAATATGCCTAGGTGCAAGTCTGTGTGATTCACACGCCAATAATTCACACTAAACTTAAAATGTTACATTCTTTATATTTACATTTTCCATGTCTTGAAGCATTAAAAATTATACTCAATATTTGAATTTCTCGCTGCCCTATTTCGTTGCATTTTTCTAACATCTATATAGAGAATAATACATACCCTTTTCCATATCACATTCTGTATCAGCCCGAGACACCAATATCAGCCAGAGGGCCGAAGGCCCGAGGGCTGATATTGGTCGAGGGCTGATACAGGATGTGATGTGGAAAAGGGTATGTATTAATATGTTTATTACATACTTAGTAATAAAATACAGCATGCATTAAGTTGAGAAGAAAATAAGTAAATAACCATGCATGGACTTCTTTCATACATATACATGGTCTATTGTATCATACGATTTGGGTTTGTTTCTACTTCTATTTCATTGCACTCGATCCGTAATTTGAAAATGATCTATTACATGTATTTGTAAATTAAGATTAACCTTATTTTCAAAAAGTTGAAATTAAGAGAATATGAACCCATCAAAAATTGTGTATGATCACAAATACTGTTTTTGTGGTTTAATTTACTAAGGGTGTGATAGTGACGTCACAATAGCCGTATCAGCCCTGCAGGGCTGTTATGGATTTGCAGGGCTGATATAGGTTATCAGCCCCGCAAATCCATATCAGCCCTGCAGGGCTGATACGGCTATTGTGACGTCAGCCATATCGCATATGCAAAAAACCTGTATTTATTACTAAGTATGTAATAAATAGCCTTATTTTGACGTCACGTTAGCGCACGTTTCTCCGTGTATATTTCTACGCGTGAGTATACACGAAAATGGTATTCAAATCAATTTCACTGTTGGCTTACTAGAAAAACACAACAAATGTAAATATATTCCTTAATAAAAACAATTTAAAACATGGACTGTGAAGAATTAAACATGGGATAAAAAGAATCTCCCATGATTTTTGGTTGGATATGATTTTCATCCAACTCGTCGTGTTTTCGCCAAGGCTCGCGGATAAAAAAAAAACATACACAATTGTTGGATAAAATTCATATTCAACTACAAATCATAGGAGATTCTAAATATATGTATTGGTTAAGTTATAATTCAGAAGCATCAACGGATATGAATTAATGAAAATTCTTAAAAATTGCTTCCTAAGTTGTTTTGGGGGGTTGATATTGTACGGTCATTTGTTTTGATTATCATGCAGGTCATGAGACAGCTATCCCAGAAAACGTTAGAAGACAATGGCAGTGGAGAGACCCAGTAGGAAGATGGAACAATTACAGTGATGAAATAAATGAGAAAATAGAGGCGTGTTACAGAAGGAATAGAGATTCAACAGTTGTCATTCAATTTAAAGGTCATATGTAAGTTCTATATTTTAATATCAATATGCAAGTCAAGAAATAAAATAAATTTGAATAATTTAAAACCATAAAAAAAAGTATATGTGAAACTGAAATAAGTGTGCACTTTAAAAACTTCATTATATATCATGCATCATGTATCATACATATTGTACTTGTACAAATAGAAATTGAGAATTCGATTATTGGTAGCGCTTGGTCATCCTGACTGTCATCTTGATATTTTTTCTCGGATACTGCTATATAATATTTTAATGTTTTGCAAGTAAATATACTTAAGCAATGCCATTCATGGTTTCAATAATTTAGATGAAGTTACACAAGTAAACATAGCGTCAAATGATATATTAATTAAGTACCTAGTGTTTGTTGAAGAAAAATACATGTCACAATATTTGAGGTATTGTATTTGGGGAAAAAAATCTGTGGTAAATAACGTTTTACATTCAGAATCATGAGGTTCATGTATTTTGCTAGGTTTAATACTTGTATTAAGAAAAAAGTATTTGTAACAGTATAAATATTAAATATTCTTGTACAGGAAATTGTGATCTTCCTATATTAGATATGAGTTAAACATTTTGAATGCACAAAAATGTTGATGATCAACTATAGCCATTTTATATTTCCATATTTAAGCGTGTGCGAATCTCGTTAAAAATATCCCGAAAGGCATTCGCCGTGCGGCACACGTCAATTTTATATGTACATGATTGTATACGTTGGTACTGTACGTCGTTTAAATGTATTTTAGTGCTGTATTTGTATTTTTAAATTAAAATATTGATATTCCTTTTTTTAGACACAGAATCATCCTACAACAAAGAAAACATGTTGATACCATCACTAAATTAACTACAGATATCAGGGTGTGCACGGGAAATTAGAGCTGGAAATATACTGTGTTCATTTCTGAGGAAATACACATTTTAAGGCTGTCCTCATATGACTCTAAATGATGTTTTATTTTCAGCAGTGAAGAATAAAATAAATGTAGGAGTATTGAACATCAACATATCTGAATATATGAATACCTAAAAAACTCAAAAGAACTTTTAGAAAATAAAAAAAACCATAATGCTAATCAGATGTTGTTACATGAACCTAAAAACTACAGAGACCTTGTAGGAAATTTGTAAAAATAGATTTAACCAAAAACAATAGGATAAAAGAATTTGAATTTTAACACCTTATACAACCGTTCTTCATGATAAATTCAAGTCTGCAAATTATTTTGTAAAATCATTCTTGTACTTACAAGATTTCATTATTTTCACAACCTTCTACGGATTTATCGGATCATGACAAGGAGCAATGACAGGTCGACAAAGACACATACTCTTCCATTTCATGATCATTTGATGCTGATTTTAAAAAACACACAAATTAGTTTTTGTTTTAAGAATTGTGCCTTCAAAGTGTACCATACATGAAAAAAATGAAAGTGTTAACATAGAGAAGATGTATAGATGTTGTGCCTAATTCATTCTTTGTATTGAAGACGTCTTAAAGACTTTAATTGTTATCCAATATAAAATGAAGAAGGCCAAAGTTTCACGATTCTGTGATTTTATCTGCCCTTGTTCACCCCTACTAATGTGTTTGGAACCTTTTATTTTTCGGTGTTCTGCTAATTATAAAACCCGATGAGTTCAGAGTAGCTCTGGCAGTGGCCCTGGCGAAGTTAGCAATTTTGGAGAGAAAAGGGTACATGTATTCACGGAAATGTCATAGGAATATGGCACGTAGACATGGTAAATTAGAAAAGTTATGCTTGCGTACAGTTTTCACACCCTATAATATCATTCTGTAAAATGAACTTCAATCGTCTTTCTTGACATTAAAGTAATTTAAATTTATAAGATTCTCTATGATACAATATTCTGCTGTTATGAATTATAATTTCTTTTTGGACAAATATTTGCATGGGAACCGGGACTATATTTTTGGCGTCAGATTAGCAAATGAGGCACCAATGACAAATATGATGAATGGGAATTGCATTATGGGTTACTGTCAAATACTACAGGAATTTTATGCTTGATAAATTCTTCATTGTAACTAAAACGGTGAATACAATTGTCAGGTGGATTCCTTGGCCAACACACGTGATCACGAGTATAGTTATATAAAACATGTTTTGTCCATTTAAATGCATAATACGAGAAAACTGCTTTACGTTTTCCTTACCCTTTGTAATGCTGGTGTTTTGAACCTGACACTAACTACGATAAGATTTAATTAAACGTATTTTTCTCTAATTTCAACAAACTAAAAACGCCCGTGATAATTTTTCATAGTTTTTAATGTTTGCATTTTAATTGTTCATAAGAACATTTTTTTTATTTTGCACTCCATTGACATATTATAGATTGAAATGAATTTCGTGTGCGATATTAACATGTAAACATGTATTTGGCGTAAGACGTATTCAGTGGGAACAATTGGTCAGTTGCTTGTGGTAAGACCCTCTATGCGCATTAATAGCAATAGCCATATAAGACAAACAAAGGTTTGTCAGTGTAGATGATATTTCACATCTTTTTACCAGCGTATCGATAGCTAGTGAGCTGTAATTTTTACAGAAAACTATGACAAGATGTATTAATTGTTAATAAACACCCCTCCTCCTTAAGCCACCCATTTCTGTTGAAAATTATGAAAGTCTTCCAGAAAGGTGAGGAAACACATTTTTCACAGGGCATGTTTACAGAAGAAACAGACTATGGCAATTTCCTACAAACTGAAATTTTATTTATAAAACCGGTTCTATGCATTTAACCTTTGAATAGGTAATCCTAACCCACGTGTCTTGAATTTAAATCACAATAACATTAGTAGGGGTGATGTTGAAAAGTCCTGCTGTTCGTGCCTGCAGCTGACAACAGTATCTGTCAAATTTAGGAAATTGTACTTTTTATGATGTAATTCTAAAAGTGAATAAAATTGGAAACCAAAGAGTAATCACATTTCCTTCTTACAAGGGAAGTTCGTAATGCGGAAGCATAGAATTGTTTTTAATATTTTATATTATAAAAATAAATACATATATTTTTCAAAAATTATAATGTAGTTCTTATTAATAATGAGTCGAAGCTATCAAGATGAAGCTTACTGGCAAGAAAGAATAAGAAGTGAAACAATAGAACGTAAGTATTTAATGTGTTTGTACATATTTTGCCAAAATTATTCACTATAAGAAATATACACGATTAATTCACATATCCACGTACATGTAAAAGCAATTTTAAATGTTATATTTTAATACCTTCCTTTCTTGAATAACCCTAATACATATGTTTCAGAAATTGTGCGAATTATATTGCAATTTATTGTTTCAAAAACTTATAGTTCGCAAAAAACAGCATATGCAGGGCAGTGGAGTATCTATTGTATTTGTTTTGGATACATCAGAGAGTATGGAAGGCGAAGGGTTTTGGGAGATGAAGGACGCGTTTGTATCGATCATTGAAGGCATGTTACAATGTGATATTGATAAATATAAGTAAATCATATATTTCATTTTGTTTCAAACAGAAACATTACTAATAGTTTAAGAAATAGTTTTATATTTTCTTTTTATTTAAGTTTTAAAAAATAATTATAAATTAATTACAACAAATTGTGGTAACCTTTTTTTTTTTTTTAGACTTTTACCATCATCCTGAATTTGATCATAATGTCGCTGTCATTCAGTTTGGAAGGGACGTCAAATACCTACATTATTTCTCTAACGACTACTTGTCTTTAAAGCACGTTTTAGGTTTGTTGACGTTCTGTTTTCACCCATTCTCAATATAAGGGCTCAAATAATGTCGCCTCATTTTCATTTAAAAGAAATACCACTGATGTAATTTTTAAATCAACTTTATAAATAGTCATATAACAATGAATAAGAATTCATATAATTATCGATCTGAAAGGGTATTTAAGGAGTTCCAAATTCAAATATAGTAGCCTATTTGAAATGTACGTTACTGTCGCCGAGGCAAATATTATTCTGAATCCCCTCTGTGTAATATATAGTTTTGATTCTCAAGTAAAAATTTTCTGATAAGTTAAACCTTGTATCATATATATTTCTTTTCATAACAATAAATACATTTTCTTTGTGATAATAAATAATTTTTATTGTGCAATGTCCCTGTCGCTTAATTCTATTTCAACCAATTTACAAGCAAACACAAAGATTATACACCTGAAAGTTTTGTTCTCCTTTATCTATCGATGGGCTAAATTTGAAATTTCAAAGGATTAATTACTCCTACTTAGATAATGTAACATGAAATTGAACAATTTGAGCAACGTTTATAAATATGTTTACGGAATGAAAGACATTTGCAATCGTAGAGATAAGAAAGAAATGTACGTTACCTATATTCTTCCATTAAGAATATATATTAAGTAGAAAATATGAGACGACTCTGAATAAGCAACCCCTTGTATCCTGTAAACTGGCAAAGACGTTTTGCTTAACACAATTAAAAATTATTTTTTACATGAAAAGTGATCATTTGAAATGTACGTGACTGAAATGTACGTTACCATGAAATTCGAATTAAGTGAATCTCGCACGAATCTTCATGTATTCTCATACTTTCACACACTCGAATGTGTACACAAAGGAAAGTTTCAAAGGTTGGAGGTCGGCTAAGTCTCAAAATTAATGAAAAGAAACGTTACTGCTGAGGGAAAAAAAAATATTAAGGTCAATTATATGTAATATAATTTTGATACCTGGTATATATTTCTGAAAACGAAACCTGTATGATGCATTTCTTATGATATGCAAGTTCAAATAGTATCGATATATTGCGTGTCTAACGTACGCTTGTGGAAGAGAATTGATTTTTAGATTTGAAATGTACGTTACGAATGGTAACGTACATTTTACGTATTTCTAACTGACATTTTTTTATTTAGTCATTGAATTGCGTTTACACGAGCGAAACAAAATTATCGTTACAATCCATTTGACAACTGGCCACATAAATCCATCTAAATGCACCCCCAATACTTGTAAATGTTTTAGACTGTTACCACATGCTAGAAAATTTATTTCTAAGTCAGTCTTGCATTCATCTTTGGCAACCTTTTTGCAGTTTGTTTAATTTTTAAAATGCGACTTTTCGTCAATATCAATTTAATTGTTGTTGATAATTTAAAACAAGGTATGCATATGCTTATAATTGGTAAAAAAAAACAAAAACAAAAACAGAAAAAAAAAAAGAAAGAGAAACAAAACAAATAAACCCAGAACACAAGACAGTCACGTACATTTCAAATACTGAAAGGCACACAATACTCAGTTTTGTTTGAATCATTGCATTTTGGGTTATATTTTTCCAGATCTGCTGATAAGCACATATGTTTGTGTTTTGAAAAACGATGTTGCAACATACTATTAATGAAATTGTTAACAAGACTGTTGATGGATATATTCGGAATATACTTATGTTAAGTTTCAATGACCAAACAGTACGAGCATTTGTTAGATCATAGCAAAATACGTCTGAATCATATTTTTTTTGTCTGTACCCTTGCACACAGGTAGAAGTAACTAGGCTATGACCGGTGTCAATTTCAGCGAAACAGCACAAAAGAATGGTAATGAACTGAGATGGAGGGGACTCCCCAATAATATATGTAATGAACGTTACCGAAGTGACGTGACATTCATGTAGTTGATGACAAATAACCTCGTTTGTTACATTATGATTTCTTATATTACTGCCTTAAAACGCCTCATTGAAATGATTTTTATGTCAATAATTGCTTTTTTTTTTCAATATTTTCTTATTACTAATTTACATATCATTACAAGCTTGAAATGTACGTTACCTACTCATATTCTGAGGCAATCGTGTCTTGTGACATATAACACAATGTGATTACAAAGAGAATCTTTTTTGGAATAAACTGAAACAAAACTATGAATTTTTAGATGAATTTTAAGTTTTTATTAAACAGAAATATATCTTGAAATGTACGTTACATTTACATAGTTTTCTAAATCGGCATGGATATATGTTAAAAAAGACAGTAACTACAAAATAGAATTTTACTACATGTACATGTTAGGTTCCAGTATCTATAGAAAATGACAAGATTCCAAACTGATCGCTGTAAACAAAACAGAGAGAAGAATTCAAAGCATATATTTTAAAAATGTTTTTGTACATCTGGATTAAAAAGTAACCTTTGTTTTTTGAAAGGAAAAATTACACGCACGTTCATATGCCGAGGAAATATGTTGCTGACAGAGTTGGTAGGATGTTCTGGTGTTAAGATGAGATATTCCAATTGTGATTTTAATGACTACATTTTTTTTTACATATCTTTTTAGACATTGAAAAAAGAGTAACGTACATTTCAAGCTACATTTCTGAATAAAATCACCCTCTACTTTATCGTCTTGTCATTATTACATGTATTATGATTTGATGAAAAAAAATCTGGAAACAAAATCTTCAGATACTTTCTTTCAAAGGTAATTGATAGAAAAATTGTTATCTTGAACTTCATTTTTTAAAAATTCAGAGAGGCATTTGTGCCCTTATATTGAGAATGGGTGTTTATCTGTTTGATACAAATGAAGTATTTTTTTCTAAAGTATAAAGATAAATTACTCTCTTCAAGGGAATCTTATTTACATAAGATCATTACATTGATATTGATTTTGTTTCAAGTATTCTGCTTTTGAATGAAAAAATATTGAATCTTCAATACATCCATACAAAGTATAATTTGATTTGTTACGAAACATTACAACATTTGTCGCCCATTGCTGTAGGAATAATGTTCTAAGAAATATACATATACCGTCTATAACAAACTGTTCTTAATATACAGAGGATCGCTTTCTATCTCTTGAGGAGAACTCAATTTAATTATTAAGTAGAATTAAATATATGTAGATAACGAACAGTATTCAATTTCAAAAGTCCATTAAACAAAACAAAATAGGAGCAGAGCAAACAAAACATCAAAGGTGGAATTAGGTGCCATGGAGAATTAAGCATCCCCTGCCGACCGGTCAAACTCGCTTTGTACTTCTTGTCACGATAGTGAAATAATGTAATAATCAGTCGAAAATTCATTGAGTAAATAATGACCTAACAATTATAAACTTTTGACTATTTTCTCAATATGCTAGAAAAATTGTTTTATATAATTCTTGTTGACTGATAGTATATCTCAAGAATATAACTTCTGAAATAACTTTTCTAGAAGGTGTTACTTGTGAAGGACCATCAACAATTATGGAGGGATTAACCTTGTCAATTTCTGCCCTGGATGATGGAAGTAGGTTCAATTGTAACAATTTTATTGTAGTTACATGTAATATAAAGCTTTAACTGACATAGATTATATTCATTTATAAAGTTTCATTAGTAAAGTAAGCTAAGACATTTTTTACATAAAAAGTAACTACTACGAGGGTTGATCCAAAAGTAATGTCACAATTTTGATAAAATTGCTATAAATCGACGTAAAGCAACAAAATTATTCGTGATGAAAGCTTTATTTATTTCATATCAGACCTGAAAAATTCAAAGGAATATTATCTATACTTTCCAAAATATCGGATTTTAAACGATGTGCGTTTATGGTAGTCGTCGCGCCTAAAAATAGCGTCATATGACGGATACGCATTGTCATACTTTTAAGCGTTTCACCTTCGTTTCATTAAAAAAAAATGCTTGTGATTCGCAAACACTCTCACCAATTCCAGTTTCTTTAAGAATTCTTGGTACCATTATAAACTCACTCTTTTCATAATTAAGCCCTCTGTCAAAATTTTTTGAACAGTAGCATAAGACAAACTTAAAAAATTACATGTCACTCTATACGTCTGTTTTTTTAACGACGTCAGACAACATTGAAAGTTTGCGTCCGATCTCCTATCTTCCGGTCTTCTTTTCCTCTTCTGATCATTCAGTGACCATACACCCGCCCAAAATGGCTGAAACAATCAATTAAGATGTATCTTATTTACATTCTTTTTCTGTAAGTCTGATTAATTAACGTAACTGTCGCTTGTGATGAATCGCATATTTTGAAGCAAAAATGCATTACAACTCGTCTAGCCGTTTTTTATATTTTGACAATCCCTTTGTTCAATTCAACAGAGTAAAACAACACTGTTTATGATCACAAATAACAATGCCGTCATTTTATTTTCAATTAAAGACTAGAAAATGACGAGAATTGTGTCTTTTAAAACATTGAGAGATTAGGTGCTTTTTAAGAATCTATTTAGCTGTAATGTAATGTGTTTGTCTTGTTTATTCTAAGATAAAATACACTTTTAAACGTGAAGTTCAGTTGTGACGCGGCGACACCCCCTATGCTCTAATTTTTAAACATCTATAAAATAAATTCAAATAAACATTATTAAATGAAAATTTTAATGTTAGCTAGATTTATATTTGTGCATCTTCTTTTGGTATATTGTATTTGATAATATGACGCCAAATATAAAAGATATGGACACTGTGACATTACTTTTAGATCAACCCTCGTATTAATTTTTTATTTAATTCAACAATCTTTGCCAAGGCTTCATGATTTTAATTTTGGTGTTTGAATAGAGTAACTTGTACGAAATAGTACGAAAGCCCAGAAGGCTCATTCGTACGAAAGCCCAGAAGGCTCATTCGAGATTCGAGATTCGAAATACGAGATTCGAGATTCGAAATACGAGATTCGAAATTCGAGATTCGAAATTCGAGTTTCGAGATTCAAGATCCAAATTAACCAATCAAAAGGCAGGTTCAACTTTGATTACTTCCCTTTGGTATGTTTTACTATAAAGAAATCGTTGAATATATTCGTAACAAATGGGTCATTTGCTTTAATGATAATGCAAGAAAAAATGATATATGTATTAAAACGAAATAAAAAGGAATTTTGGGTTACATTTTGGAAAATATATATAAATTCTTATTTTTCCTCATTAAACAAAACAATAGATACGTATATAGAATATTATATGGTCTTATCGTTGAATTGCGGCATTAGTAGGTCGACAATCTTTTTAATAAGAACATTGATGAGGGAGAAAATTATTATTTATATGAAATATTAATGAGGGTACATTTCTTTACATTGTGCCCCCCCCCCCCCCGAAAATTTTGCGACATATAAAACACTATAGAAATCATAACTACAATATGCTTGTGCCCCCTCAATAAAAAGCATCTGATGACTTTGCTTTGTTTTTGGTTGTCAAGAAATTTTTGGTAGTTGAAAACTGAAAATGTATGGCTGCCCCCCCCCCCCCTTCCCAATGAAATGAGTGTTATGGTTTTACTAGTATATTTGAATCTTTGACCATAACACTATGGTCAGAGACTAAAATATAAAACAATAACGCCACAGTTCTGCAGCTTAGCTAGACTCATCTACTATTTGATATAAAATAAAATAAATTCCAGTCTGTATTGTATCTATGATTTTTAATTAATTCAAATTATCAAAGCCTTAGACCAAGATAAGTAATTGAAAACTAAATTTTTATGTATTTCCTCTATTAGGAAACCTACAAAATATTTTTGTGCCCTAGAGAAACGAAATAACGTAAATAAGAATATCAACAACTTGATTAATAATGATGGCAAATATGTAAACTAACAACAAGAGATCGTGGAAGAAGTTAGAAGATTTTACAAAAATCTGCATGAAAATAAAGATCAAGAACTCGATGATCTTGAAGATTTATGAACTTGTGTATTGATTGGTTATGTATCTTGCGAGACCCGAGCGGTTTCCTTTTAAATAATTATCGAATATATATTTATTGTATCCATGCATCGCAAGATTGACAATGAATGTTGATAACCACACATTTGCGCGCCCCCCCCCCCCCATTTAGCCATTCCCGTAATATTTTTCCGATATAATATACTATAGAAAACAGTAACTTTATGCTTATGTCCGTTCAAAAATAACTTCCAATTACCATGATAACCCCTATTTTTCGAGGTTGGGGTGGGGATAAGGATTAACAATTTCTTTTAATTTATTATTCCCAATGGGTCATTATCTTTATTAAGCATGCATGTTTCAGCCATCCGTATTTAGGGGCTGTCTATTGGTTTCATAAACTTGGTCACTGGCCACTTTCTAATATCGTGTCACAAACACTATCCACCTTGAAACGCGTAGTACTAATTATTACAGAGACGAAGCATCGATTTTGAAAGTGGGGTGGGGGGAGGGGGGGGGAGCCAGGCAAAAATATTATTTCAAACCTGAAAATAAAAACTGTCAGAAAAATTTGTCAAAACCCGAAAATCCTATTTCGGGGCGTGAAAAGGGGGCGGGGGAGGGGGGGGGGTCGAACTTCATTTAGTACCTAATTTCTTTTAATACACTACTACTTAAACTTCTTTGACTAGAGAGAGACTGAGAAAACGTAGTGGGGGGGGGGGGGGGGGGCGCTTGGGGCTTGGCAACCAACCTTTCGATGAACATTTTCAATGGTAAAAAACTTATGTTTGGAAAAAAGGGGGGATGCATGTACGGTTAATCTAAGTTTACTATTACGTCAACAACCCTGTATCCAAAGTAGATAACACGAAATATATATATATATATATATATATATATATATATATATATATTCTTTATATAAATCTCTTATGACATTTAAGAAGCTATTATAAATTAATTAAGCATATCTTGCAGACCAAAATCCAATATTTCTTTAAATTTCGTTTTGATAATATATAACACTTTTTCTTGCGTTGTAATTTAATCAAATGACCTCCTCGGTATTAAAATACTCAACGATTTCTTAATAGTAAAAAATAACAAAGGGGAGTAATTGAATCTCAAACCGCCTTTTGATTGGTTAGTTTGGATATTGAATCTCGAAACTCGAATTTCGAATCTCGAATTTCGAATCTGGTATTTATTTGAATCTCGAATGAGCCTTCTGGGCTTTCGTACATATATAATTCGAGTTTTTAAATACGAGATTCGAAATTCGAGATAAAATTCGAGTTTCGAGATTGAAAAAGAAGAGAGAGAGAGAGAGAGAGAGAGAGAGAGAGAGAGAGAGAGAGAGAGAGAGAGAGAGAAAAAGTGTTATATATATTAGAGGGAAATTTAAATAATTAATGGATTTTTGATCCGCAATGAATATTTCAATTTATATTATAGATTCTTAAATATTAAATAGATAACATATATCAGGAGTATATAATCATATTTTTGTATTGATGACAAATTACCGGCCGCCAGGAGATGGTCGGTTATATGATATGAAAGTTCGAAGTCGCTGTGCGTTTCTGCGGAGTTAAAACAATTTAGATAAAAAATATTTAACATTAATTTAATAGTATTTTAAAAAGACGGTCTTAAGGTTAAAGAAAAACGCACAATAAACATAAAATTAAAAATTCTTATGAAGAATGAGGTAAATAATTCATCCAATACTGACTTAGAAATTTAGATACGTTTGAAGTGCGGAGAAAATTAAGACATGTGTTGGGTGTAGTCTAAATCAAAGACCGCGTTTTGTATATTACACAATTTTACTTTCTCTATTCAAACGGGATTTGTTGTACGTATTTATTTTAAAATGACGTGTACATATGTACACATATAAACATTTTGAAAAATATGGTTAAATGTAAATTCATTAAAAGACTTAGCAGGCTACAAAATATTACAAGATTTGGCCCTTAGCAGACGAGGATAATGCACGTTTTACAATGTGCCAAGAATTTTCCCTTTACAACTCAAAGAGAAGAAATGAAGTGGCGGATCTGGAGGGAGTTTAGTTTTTTCCTCTAAGAGAGAGCAAGGATACCAAAATATTTGCTGCATTTTTATTAAATTAAACTACACTGCATATCTAGTTGTAGACTACATTTAATTTTAGTTTTAAACTTTTAATGCAAATGCCATACAGGCCCACGGTTCAAAAGTTGTTGACGCAGAGTACCAGGGGTTTTTACTGAACATGCATTATATAATTAAGAAAATCATGCAATGTAGAGCACAAGCTTTTAATATCACGAGGATATATATTAACAGATAAATATAAGATATTTTAAAAAGCAGATCACCATAGTCTTTAGTTGCTTCATAAAAGGAACATTAATTGGTTTGCGGCCGATTTTTGACGCTTACGTCAATACATGTTTCTTGTCTTAATTTTTAGAAAAACACAGGTACGTGTGGACAATACCCCCCCCCCCCCCTTGATATTGAACCCCGGGGCTTATTTCTCTGTTATGTGTAGCCTTACAATACGAAAAAAATCGCTGGCGTAAAACCCAAGAATAATCGCTCAACCAAAAAAAACAAAACAAAAAAACACTATTCATTACCCCACTTTACAAGAAAGAAAGCTGTTTACGGAAAAAATGTGGGATTACTATGTGATGCAGAGTCAGTCCGATAGCATGGACTTAGACAGAAATCAGTGGCAGATTTAAGGGGGGGGGGCGCAATTATGCCCCCTTAAAATTGTCCAAGTTAGCATAAAACATAGTTTGTCGAGAAAATGTTTTAAATGTCTACTCGGTAGACCTCATTTTTACCCTACAAAACCTCTAGAATCCAAGAGCTTCCGGGGCCTTCGCCCCCTGGGCCCCCACCAGGGCTTTACCCTGGACCCACTGGGGGCCGCAAGGCGGCCCCCAGACCCCCTGCCTGAATCTGGCAAACTTCAATTCCTTCCGCCCCTGGAAACACATTGTATATGTAGAGACAGTGTGAATCGACATATAAAGTTAAAACAAAATAAATGCATTTAACACCAGTGGGGGTACAACGTAAACAGACTGGAGTGGCATATCCTTCTCTTATAATGTATAGTTGGTATTTGGGGGGGGGGGGGAGGTTGAGCGATTATTCTGGGGATTTTACAATTTTTTGTTATTGTATACATGATGAATAAGTTTAATAAATAAAACTTGTGAAAAAAATGTCCAATAAGCCCTATGGTTGAATATCGAGGGGGAGGGGAGGGGGTGGTACCTTTCACAAGTACCTGTGGTTTTCCTAACACAGGAAATGCATAAAAATTAAGTTTAGTAGACAATTCAAAAATATATATACTCCTGATATATGAAATCTATTTAATATTTAAGAATCTATAATATAAATAAAAATATTTTTTGCTGATCAAAATTCCATTAATTATTTAAATTTCCCTCTAATATATATAACACTTTTTCTTGCATTGTAATTTAATCAAATGACCCATTTGATATAATTATATTGAACTATTTCTTGATAGTAAAAACATAATAAAGGGAAATAATCAAATGTTGAACCCGCTTTTGATTGGTTCGTTTGGATCTTGAATCTCGAAACTCGAATTTTGAATCTCGAATTTCGAATTTTGAATCTCGAATTTCGAATCTCGTATTTGGAAACTCGAATCTCGAATGAGCCTTCTGGGCTTTCGTAAAATAGTCATTGAAAGTAAAGCTGTGTGTCTTCTTTCAAACAGAAATTGAAACGGAATCGTAAACGAAATAATTATTATCATTTGATTAATTATTCTTTACATGTATATAAATCAGATCGATCAACCAATGTTGGACCATTCACCAATAGGGCTAGAGTGGTTTTCATTTCGAATGGCAGTACGAAGACTGGTAATCATTTAGACGAAGAAGATGGATATTTAACCGCTAGCTCTAGAAGAGAAAAGACAGTAAAAATTAATATAACATTAGTTTTAAATTAATATACCAGACATCTGAGAAATACTAGTGATCAAGCTGTACTGAAAGTTATCTTTAGAGATTTCAAAACTCATCTCGAAAAAGAGGTTATAAACATTCAGAAATTAAACCTATTACGCAAGAAACTATTTCTGCAAATAGAATGGATCTTCTTAAAAAATCAAAGAAGAAAAATAACAAAAAGGCTATACCAAACGTTTTGGTATTTAACCCATATATAAAGGGGAGAGAGAACGACTTATGAAATATTTTTTTACATACTTGATGACGATGTATGCAAAGAATTATTCACAACACCCCCTATGGTGGCATACAGCAAACACAAGAATATAGGCGATCTTATCATTAGAACCAAATTAAAATCAAATGAAGTTCAAAGAAATTGATAGATTTATGCATACGGTGGACCTCTGATGATGACAGACCGTATCACAATTATAAAATGACATGTGCTATTAATACTGCCTTGAACACTCTTAATTAATTTAACAAATGAGCAAATGACCAAATGCTTCATTAAGAGAGAGAGAGAGAGAGAGAGAGAGAGAGAGAGAGAGAGAGAGAGAGAGAGAGAGAGAGAGAGAAAGAGGGTGTATTAAGACATGTCTGGATGTTTAGGATGTCGTCGTTTTTTTTCACACGCAAACACAAGAATATAGGCGATCTTATCATTAGATCCAAATTAAAATCAAATGAAGTTCAAAGAAATTTATTGATTGATTTATGCATACGGTAGACCCCTGATGATGGCAGGCCGTATCACAATTATAAAATGACATGTGCTATTAATACTGCCGAAACACTCTTAATTAATTTAACAAATGAGCTACTGACCAAACGCTTCATTAAGAGTGTCGGGTTCTAATAAGTTTAAGACATGTCTGGATGTTTAGGATGCCGTCATTTTTTTTGCACTTAAGTTTTTCAGTGAATGAAAAAGGCCTAATAAGGAAATGGGGACTTTTTTTCTGTAGACTGAAATAATTCTAACATTTTATCATTAAGATACGTATTTCTTTTATCTGAAGTACCATTTATATATTTTTCATATTTTCGAAGAAAGTGCATATCTTAAACCTCGCCAAGAAAATAGGAAATGCAAATCCAATTGTCTGTATCCCTGTCGGAAAAGAGCCAGATGTTGTAAGTTTATTTTATATCACGTGAATTGAGAGAGAGAGAGAAAGAGGAAAAACTTTCTCTTTCTTTTCTTTATAGTGTTTACTTGGAGGAGTTGCGTATGGGTCCAAAGGCGGAAAACTCCTACATCACAAAGAAGCCAAGCAGTATGCAAGATATACTTTAAATATGGTATATAATTCTAAATGCGTAGAGAGAATTTTTTAGAAATATTTTTTACTCTTTAATTTGTAAAGAAAAAATCATATTGATGTATAACACTGCATTTTTTAAAACTGAAATTTGTTCAAAACAATTTATAGTTAGTTGCCGGAGAAATTATGGGCAGAATTCCCCCGTCTGAATATACAATAGATGATATAAAGACAGCTGTCATTGATGGAAGAAAACAACATGATTTCAAAGAAAAGGATCTGGTATTTATTTGATGGAGACTCTCTTGGACATATATGAGTACGGTTCAAAAAGAAAGAGAGAGAGAGAGAGAGAGAGAGAGAGAGAGAGAGAGGGTGTATATGATATGATAATTAGAAAAAAATGTTTATGTATACAAAGGTAACAAATAAATTTATATATGCGAAGAATATAAATGGAATTTGAATATTCAAGCGTAAATAATCATGTTTTCTATAATTGTTCAAAGAATTTGAAACAAAATAACACAGATCGCCTTCCCATTTAGGAAGACGTGTTTGAAATTCTGAAGAACAGACACGCTTATGATATGAATGTGTACCCGGATGAAGAATCAATGGAGGAATGTGAGTACCGTGGGCGCGATAGTCGACTTCCGCCTCCTGGAACACGTGTTCGAAGAGGACCTAATTGGCATTATAATGATCAGGACTCAAACGGTCCGGGAACAATAATTGGGCATTGGACTCGAGGTTCGAATTCAGTATATTGTTTGTAAAAACCGTTTTCAAAAATTCACAAAAAATTTCATGAAATATAAAAATGCTTTCTTTTGGATAGATGCCTGGGTTTATGTTGAATGGGATACTGGAATGAAATTTCCATATGAGTATGACACTGAAAATGTCGATTCAGGAGATATTGTCATCACTATGAACCTAGGTTATTACAAAGAGAAAATATTGCAGTTGGATGTCTTGTTCAGAGAGGTCATTTTTGTTCCGCCTGAAAGTTAGAGTGACACAACGGGATCACTTAACTACTCTCTGTCTATCTATCAATCCTTACACCAATCTGTTACATGTGCACGTGAACTATATATAAGGGGAAATATTTTGATATGTCTCACAAACATTGATTGACAGTCTAAGGTTTTTTTGAGATGCATGGTAATTGATCTTGTGACCTTTAAGCAAGACCTTTGATCTACTTCGCAAAATAGTTATTGGTGCATATAAATCACATTTTACATTTTAGAGGCCAGCATGTATATTATACTCGTATGTTTATGAGCTCATTACATTGTACTTTGAAAAGGCAACTGTATTTTGGAACAGCTTCACTGTACTAAACAAGCTGAAAATAAAATACTTTGAAAATACATCGCCTGATCTGGAAATATATTCCCAAACAGATCACTGTAGGTTGTGCATTGCTATTTCAGTTTACACCTTGAAAACTTTTTTCGAGGATATTTATAAAAAATACATTACCTGTATATCCAATTTTAAAGATTTCAATGTTTTTAATTATTTAGCTAATTTGTATTTGATTGCTTGAATCCATTAGAATTTCAATATATGTTAATACATATGTTATAAATTATGTTAATACTAATTTCTTTAATTTGCAGTAACACTAATTTTACTGCGGTGAGCTTGCATATAAGCATAAGAATACATAAACGTCAATTTTTTTTTATTCCTAAGCATAGGAATACAATTTCTTCTTCTAATCACAATATACATGTATGTTTGATGAAAATGCAACCAACGACACAAATACAATGTTTTTTTTTTTTTTTTTACATTTTAGAATGATGATCAGAAAGTTTTTGATAGAAAAATAGATACCCTTTTCTTCTTAAGTCTTAACAATTAAAATAACAAATCAAAATTCCTTCGAATGAATCGCAACATATTTGTTACCGCATAAAGGAGGATCTTCGTCTCCGTTTTATTTTCACCATTTTTGTCCTTGATAACAGGTGGTGTTTCAAATAGCTTAATCGTAAATAGAACTGCTAATTTCAAATGAGGCAAAATTGTTTGCATGTGTGAAAAGCGAAAATATACGGGGCAAAAATTACTGTATACATTATAATTTGATCGAATTTATCTTCTTTTACCGAAATCTATCATTAATTAAATGTTAAACTACTTCCAAAATCCTGTTTAAACAACGGTCGAAGTCTTAAATCATAATTATTTAAAATGCTAAGACAAATTATATATATTTATTATAGGTCCTGATTGGAAATGGAAAAACCAAGATGGTGGTCCTGGAAATATTGGGGCGGTGTATAGAGTCAAGGAAAACGTTGTCTATGTAAAATTTGTCCTTCAAGTCATACATGGGCTGATTTTTCTCTTTCAAATTAAAACATTATTTTTATTATATTTAACTTTCAGGTACGATGGGAAAATGGAAATAAAAGCAATTACAGATTTGGTTATAATGGCAAAACAGATGTTGTCGTTTGGTAAATAAAATAGTGATCAAATATTAGTGTAATGTTAGTGTTTCTTAAACGTTAAAAGACTGAATTCAATTTAAAATAATTCATTACAAAAACGTTATGGATTAAATCATTTAACTGAATTTACTTATTTATATCTTTATTTAATCATTTCAGTGATCCATTTGACGAAAGCATGGTAACCAGTATGTCATGTGTGGTATTTACAAAAGGAAAAAAAGGATAACAAACGCTCAAAGTCCTTATATAATTATATATTGATTTATATACTTTGATGAAGATTTTTTTCATCGTTCAAAGTCCGATTTTCAATTTAAATGAAAGCAATTGAAACAAGCAGAAAATTTCAAAGTAATAAAAATACAATTCATTTATCGCAGAATATTACATGTATTTATCAGTCCAATGACTGTAAAAATGCTTGGAAAAAGATTAAGATACTAAAAGTTTATAAACAAAGGGATTGGATACATCATAAGAATGAATTATTTGAGAATGCTGTAGTTTTGTGACAGAAAAATGACAACGAAGGAATCTGCATAAAATTAAATTTTTAAAGGGAAAAATGATAATGGAGATTTTTTTTTTTAATTAATTAAGATAAGATGGACAGCTAGACGGTCGGACAGACGCCAGGCAAAGTGATCCCTTAGTGTCGCTCTGCTCTGCAGGCTACACAAAAAGGAATACAGGCACAAATTACCTTTATTTATAGTATGGCTTTGAGAAACCTTCTATGTTTTTACAATTTCAGATAGTTCACTTGTTAAAATAAATAATTTGTGTGTAATCGTCAGCATGGGAATAATAAAATAGAAATAATCAGATTGCTTTTCATCACAAAAGGCATTGAAAAAATGTTATTTGTGCCTTTCCGATCGCCTTTAGATGGAATACTTGTATATGTAGAGATATATAACGAACAGAATTCAATCTCAAAAGTCCATCAAACAACACAAGATATGAACAAAGGCTGACTTTAAAAACATTAGAGGTCAGATCAGGTGCCATGGAGCAGTGATCTCACTCTGTCGACCGGTCACACCTTGTGCTCCTTGCCATGATCTTTCTTCCAAGAGTATAATTCCAATATTATTCATAGAAACATATACAACACAATTCTCACTCATCTGATTTGTCCTTAAAATCCATGTTGATTCCTCATTTGCTTATCTGACGCCAGTATATATATATAATCTCAGTTCCCATGAAAGTATGTTTGTCCAAAATGAAATTTAATACATGCCTGCAGAAATTCAGCTATTTATATGCCACTTGCATTTATGCAAATAAAAATACACATATAGTAAGACTGCGATAGATTCTGGCAGTCTCATAGAAATACAAATCCCAAACCCCTCAAATTGTGATCTCAACAATCCTTCAAAATACACTGTCTTGATCACAATTATCAGTCTACACCATTCATATTGGATAACCGATCCCGATGAATTTTTTAAGTACTTCAACTTCAGTTTTTGTGGTAACTGTACATGCATTTTATACAGTGACAAAGTACATTGAAATGAGCTCATAAAAATAGGTATAAATGATATTTATCAAATCGCTCATCGTCTGCCTCTCTGAATTAAAAAAGACATAAGTTAGATTTAATCCTTTGCAATATAATTTATCTGGCAAAGTATGTCAAAGGTCATATTGGATAAGTGGAATTTTTTAATGCTGTTTTTTGTGGTAAATATATTACACATGACAAAGTGATAAACAGTCTAAAAATAGGTGTAAATGATATTTATCAAATTGCTCACCCCTCTAAATGTAAAAAATCCTTTGTATAATTTATCTGGCAAAGTATGTCAAAGGTCTGGATCAAGTGGATTCTAATGCTGTTTTTTTTTCCAAAATATATTACATGTGTGACAGACAGTGCAAATTCTAAATATCATAGACTGACCTCTCAAATGTAAAAAAAGAAGTTGTTAATCGCAATGTCAGTTTTTTTTTTCAAAATGTAAGTTAAAGGTCGTATTTCCGTGAATAATTTATCTTATCTCGCTGACATATCACTAAATCTCGTCAAAACTATACTGCAAAAGCTATTTTGAACTCCTTTGGTATTATAATTTGCAGAAAATCAAAAAGTAAAAAGGGGTGTTGTTTGAGATGTGGTTTTGATTTTTGTATCAGCAGTTCTGAAAAACTAAACAATAAAATAATAATTTTAACTCTACATTTTGAGTAACATTTTTGTTCATTGACTTGCTAAAAATATTTAGTAGATGGATTTGTATTTGGAAAGCTGTTGTTTTGAATTTTCGTTTTTATTTTATGAAATCAAATGGCTATTGATTTTAAAATAGATATGCAAATCCGATTATTTCTAAAACATGTAAAAGGAAAAAAAACTTTTTTTATATTGCTATGAGAGTTAAAATCCTGTAGAGAAAACATACACTGTATTGACAAGGAAGTACATGATTGGATCAATTGCGTAAGTCCATTTTGATTTTCTATTTCAAATATTTTGTAGAATATGATAAAATACACATTGAAATTCATTATATATTGATAAATGTCGCAGATAACAGAATGTTTAGAGGAGTTGATGTATATCATTGGCATAGACTTGCCGAGGAAGTGGCATTGGAAAGTATGTATATTGAGACATTTTTATCATATGTAAAGGTTTAATTATTCAAATGCAAAAAGGATTAAGGAACATACATATTTGAACATAATTTGTTATTTTGAAATTTTGATAAAATTCATGTTGGTTTTTACACAAGCAATACCCATGTATCACTTGATCCAACCTCTGATGTTAAGATTTTGGAGGTCCGACTGTTTGCTATGCTCCTAATTTATATTGTTTTATGGACTTTTGATCTAGAATACTGTTCGGCATCTTCATACATTTCATTCTACACATAGATCAGAAAAGAAAACACCAGCATGGGGGAGGTGTATGTACGGTATTTCTTCTCGATACATAAGCCAGCATGACAGGAGAGGGATTCCATCAGTTGAAGTGGGCTTTCCTTGATATTTTAAACGGTATCCTCATGTAAAGTCACAATAACGTAATTCATATGACTTTTTTCATTAACTTGTTTTCACTTAGTTTTGCATTGTATGTCTTAAAAAGCCAATAATAATTATAAATCTTTTCTGATGTAAAGCATATCCATTTTGCGTTGATTATGAAAATAGCACACTATATGAATATTGTATAAATTAAAAATGACACAGACTTTTAGATATTAAAAAAATCTTCGACCGAAATCCACTTTCAAAAGATATTTATAAGTTTAATGCGTGTATTTACTTCACTTTACAGAATTTATTCTTCATCCACACCTCGACGAAAATGTCGCTGTCATTATGTTTGGTGAAGAAATCAAATTCTTACATTATTATTCCAACAACTACGGATCCGTCAGAGATTGTCTTGGTAAATGTCTATATATCAATCTAATTTTACAGATATAGGAGGTTAGCTTAATTTATATTTTCCTTTTCATTTGAAATTTTTTTAAACTTATAATTAAACATTATAAATTTTCAAGATAAGGTAGAATGCAGAGGAAGCTCGCCTATGGAAGCAGGCATAATTCTTTCTTTATCCTGTATACGCTACGGTGGAGGTAAAATATCCCGAAAAAGTAATAGAAAATTCATTATTTTGGTAAAAAAGAAATTGAAAGATGGTAAACCTTTTCTACCTTATAAATTTATTGTCTTCATTTTATTCATGTTACAATCTTTTAATTTGATATGTCATAATAACATTTCGATTTATTGATATATGGAAAAAAATACCAAATACCCGAATACACTCATGAACACGCATACACTAATTAAACAATTGAGTAAAATGAATCGTGCACCTTAAACGGTTTTTATCTGCTTTTAATATCAAGATAAATTGTGATGAAAACAATAACAAAATGGAATTTTTTCTTGTTCAAAATCAACGATTTTCAAATTCAATGGTCAATACAACATTTTGACAAAGTTGACAAATCATAGGGAATTTTCTCCATCAGGAAATTGAATTCATTTAGAAAGTGACTTAATTTGCATTTTGTCCAATTAGGATACAAAATATTTATGTTGTATCATAACCAGATCATAAAGTATTACCTATTCAAAATTAATATAATTGTTTTTTAGGTCACAATGCAATTTTTAATCCTTATATAAGCGTGAGAGCAAGATTGGTTATAATTTCTGATGGTAGGCCAACAACATCTACTGAAGTGGGAGGGCCAGAACTGGACAATTCGAGCGAAGAATCAATATTTGACGGTGTAAGCGATTTACTACAAACAATTTTGAATTTTAATTTTTTTTTAATATTATATAGTTCATATATTATATAATATCCAATATTAATCATATGCTAATTTGAAAAAAAAATTGAGTTATATCTTAAAATGAAGCACCTTTTCTGTCATTTTTTAATTATATAAGCAAAAACTGCCCTTGGATTAAATATATATCGTATCATTCATTGTTTTAATAAGCTTATTTGTTATTTTATAAATCTGTTAATATCAGGTTGGAAGTTTTTTGTTTTAATACATCAATGAATTACGTGTTTCCAGACTTTTACAAGAATACAAGCTTTGATGAAAGAGATTGGAAAGACAACGCCGATCATGTGCATTCCTGTAGGGTCCGATCCAAATGTCGTAAGTTTATCATTTTATGATTGCTTTTAATTGTATTTTTGCATGTATCATCAAAAGAAGATTCCTTCGAATTAAATAAAAAGATGGATTTGAAGAGACAAGATATGCAGAAACTATTATCATTCAAGAACTTAGCATTATATTTAAAAGGATTTCTTAAAAACATTGGTGGATTCATCGACAGCAGGAAGACTGATTTTCCCAACCGATGCTAAGCAATGTGGAAGGTTTGCTTTGAACATGGTTAGAAAAATTCCAGTATTTAATATTACTTATTTCGTGATGGAAAGTTTAATGCATATATCACAATATTGACCTATTTTACAGAGAATTGTGTCTCGCATCTCAAAGGAAAGAATGGCAACTGGAATAACACAGGAACAGATTCAAACTATTGCCAAAATGTCACCGTTACATGATAATGTCTCTAGCAAAGATTTGGTATTGATTTATATAACTTGATGACAAGGATTTAAGATTAATCTCTAAATATATATTAAACACGTTTACCTCCTTACAGAAAGTCCATGTGTGTGATAAAAACATTTCATCTATTTTAACTTTGTTTTAAAACAAAAAGTTTTAATATATCTATTAAAAAAATTGACAAAATTGATATTTACTTTTTCTTGAAGGAGGACATAAATGATATAATAAATAAAATTGATGCATTCAAACCAATAACTGCAGAAGATGTGGAGGAAGATTTTTTCAGAGAGCGATATGAAAGTCTCCCTTGCATTGGTACAAGAGTAAAACGTGGACCTCATTGGACCTATAAAAACCAAGACAGTCATGGTCCTGGAACAGTGATCGGACACTGCGAAAAAGGCACGAGTGTAGTCCAACCTACCAGCTAATAAATTCTTTTTAGAAAACCTGAAATTTAAAGCATTTGTCAAGAATGAATTGACAATAGGTTATCATGAATGACAAAGAAAATAAAATTATTTTTTTAGCTGGATGGGTAAACGTAGAATTGGATAGTGGTGTTACATTGAGTTATCAGTATGGTTTTGATGGTTTAATTGAAAAATATGATATTACTCCATGTAAAGAACCAAGGATTCTAGAGAATGAACTGATCGCCGTTGGATGCCTAGTTACCAGAGGTACTTTATGATTGTTAATGTTTCGGAATGTTCTCATTTTTTAAGACTGTCCTTATCCCACCGATTGTAAAAATTACATATTTATATTTTTTATGCATTAAATACCGGTACTAGTTCATTATCTTGGATTTAGTCTGGAAGCTGTTATTCAGACTAGAAAATACTAAATGAACTTTATTTATTAGCCCTGATCTTAATGTCTTTATTAACCCCTTTAATATCATACTAGAAAGAAGATTTATTTAGCAGTTAAAGTTTATTTCTTTAAACGAAGGTCCTGATTGGAAATGGGGAGACCAAGATGGCGGAGAGGGGAATGTTGGAACAGTGTACAGAATAAAAAAAGATGCCGTTGTTCTTGTAAATACAATAAACTAAAAAATAAAAAGATTAAAACACTGTAATTTTGTTATTGAAGAAAAAACTTTTGAAAACTTATTTAAAAGACGTGATCCTTTTGGTTCGGACACTTTAATGAAATTATACCAATTCAAGGCTCAAGAATTATCTGATATTTACTTGGTAGAAATAAATTTTTCTGATCCTTGTCTGAGTAGATATTTTCACATTGTTAGGAAAAAAATCTTGTTTTTAAAACAACATAAACAACATATACAGATCTCATAAATGATTTTTTTCCAATTTAGATAATAACAATTATGTTTTCAAATACTTCTTATTGTCAAGGTGAAGTGGCAGAACGGAAATCGTAGTAACTATAGATACGGGTATGACAACAGATATGACGTTACTTTGTGGTAAGTATGCTTAAATATCGAACATTCTTGTTTTTTTCACACTTTTTTTAATTATTAAACAGTTTTAAAACTTGACGGGGTTTTAAACTTATCACAAAGGAAAAAATCTATTAACAATCTTAATTTTCATTTAGTGATCCATTTGACCCTCTTGTGCTTCAGTCATTGAAATGTCAACACAGATCATACTACTCTGGAAATCCCGAAAAGGAAGGACATAAATTTTGAAAGAACTTCTGTACGATGGACAGAAATTTATTTTCAAAACTAGTAAAACTAGTATAACGACCGTATGGACTGCACTTTTTAAATATTGAATGTTATAAAAGAAACCATACTCCTAATAAAATGCTTTTTAAATTTCAATTTTTTACTGTAGCGAAAATAACTGGGCCATGGGCCACATCGCTCACCCGAGAAATTTTTCTGTTCTCTAACAGATTTTTCCACTTGTAATACCTATTGCGACCCACCCTACACAAGGGGTCATGATTGATTTGGACAATATAAAATCTTTACTGTACGAGGATTTTAAAAGTTTATTTCCTATTCATTTCGATGTACAACTTGGATTCTGTTGTTCCGCCTTACCTCCGGTTCTCATGATTTGAATTATTTAGAATTTACACTACCCCAGGATGCTTCCATACAAGTTTCAGCTTTTCTGGCGAAGTGGTTTTTAAGAATATTTTCTACGTTCTATATATTTCATTGTAAAATTTTGATTCCCTATTGTGGCCCTGCCTTACCCTCGGGGGTCATGATTTGAACAAATTAGACTCTACACTACCCCAGGATGCTTTCACTTAAGTTTCATAATTGATTTGGACAATATTAAATCTACACTGTCCGAGGATACTTCCACATAAGTTTCAGCTTTTCTGGCCCATTGGTTCATGAGAAGAAGTTTTTTTTAAAGATTTTTCCTATATATTACTATGTAAAACTTTGATTCTCTATTGTAGCCCCACCTCAGCCGCGGGGACTATTATTTGAATAATATTGACTCTACACTACCCAAGAATGCTTCAATATATGTTTCAGTTTTTCTGGCCCTGTGGTTCTTGAGAAGGGACGTTTCAATGACCCGACCCTATTTATGTCTTTTCTTGATAATATCCTCTTGGAAGGGGACTTGACCCATTATTTTAATAATTTAAACTCTCCTTCCCCCAGGATTACTTTGTACCAAGTTTGGTTGGTAAAAATTGCCCCAGTGGTTCTTGAGAAGTAGTTGAAAAATGTGAAAAGTTTTCGAACGGACGGACGGACAACGAGCGATAGATGATGGGAAAAGCTCACTTGAGCTTTTAGCTGAGGTGAGCTAAAAATCGAAATATACATGTACTACCTTAGAATTGTTATCTGTATTAAAAATGGTTATACCAGGATAATTCCAAAAATAATATAGTACATTGTATTGATTTATCATACGAAATTCATAAGAACGTGGCTTTTTCTTCCAAATGTCGAAAGTACTGTTTAAGAACTTTTAAACACTGCAAACTTTATGCTTTTTTAAGTGTTGATATAATAAATATGACAATAACAGCTCAACAATGAATATTTGTACAAAAGATGATGTTCATTGAAGTGATTAATTTACAGAATGTTTATCTGTTCAGTCTGAAACAGTTTGCATGCCATGTCACTTTAATTCAAAATTAAAGAGAAGTAGCATTGACCAACTATTATTAATTTTATTAATGTATGTTTGCAGTGTCTGCAAGTTTATGTAACATCTTTGGACTAATTTTTTTCAACTACTAAAAGACACAAACAGGAATATCACAAAAAATTGAACTCAGTCAATTTTAAAATAAATGAGATATAGATAATAACGCATTTCAACGTTAACGTCGTTTACTATTTTATATTTTACAAAACATTTAACAAATTATTTCTGTGAATTTAACAAGCTAAATGGAAAATTCTAAATGTTGAATGACAACGGAACTCTAAATAATTTACGCCAATGGCTTGCTCGTGTTCGTATCAATATATTGACTCGATCGTTTTATCAATATCGTGTTTGCTTACGTTTTACCGAAAATGTTCGATTTCAAAAGATTGAATACAAATTAAACAGATAACAAAGATATGTTTGGTTTTTTTTGGAAATCATTCATTTGTACTATTCAGAATTGTTCATAATCATCCATTTTCATTATCTTGAGTTCTCTATTTTTATGTCGCACGTCTATGCACTCGGGAAGTAAGGAGTTGAACCTTAGTTACGATATGTGTTTGAATCCAGTGTTTGATAGAAAATCGTTCCTTTGGGTGATACCGTTTAAATCGAGTCCCATGTTGCAGTAGATGCTGTAAAGGAAACAGTTCCATACAAGTCAAAAGGCGTAAATGCCGAATAAAGGGCCAAGTTTTCAACTTTGAACCATGAAACAAGATTGACATCTCGGTATTTACTTTATGGGACAATAACAAACAACCTGCTTTTTGAAACACTACAGATTCCCAATTTTTTTAAAATAGCAAATAGGGTCTAGCAATGTTTCGGTGACAGAAAAATGTTGTCAAATTTCAGGGTTATTGTACATCTCACTTAATTAAATTAATACCAAAGAAACAAAATTCGTAATATTAAATATATACATAATTCGGTCATCTTTCACAAACGGATATCTAAAAATGCAATGGTTCATATACAAACGAACTCTATCACGCATGTCAAGCCATTTTAAAAAAAGACGGAAGTTTATTTTTATTCTGCACATACAAAATGAATTTGATCCTAGGGGAAATGAATTTATTAGGTTCCTAGATTATATTTAGGAATATATACTTGATTTAAGATCTGAAGACCATATGGTTGAATCATCTGGATCTTAAGATAAAAAATGCAGAGATCGCTTGATCAACAACAGTGGGATGCCCTTGCTAAACATGAAGCCCAGGAAAGTATGATTTGTTTACTTTAAACTTGCATTTCTGCTGAAGTATGTTACATGTATTAATACTGATATAGTAATATGATATCCATATTTATACTCATGTTAAGATTTATCTGCAAATATCGAATCGACCACAAGAGCATCAACAATATAAAGAATTTTTCAAAGAAAGAATTCAAGCGAAATATACAATTTCAACGTGGAATATATGAAATATTTTGATATGTATAATATAAAGCATAAACATTAAATAGCTCGAATGGTCAAGTAAACAGCACAATTTTCTGGCAATGTCGAAATTATGGCGAAGCTCATAGCGATTAGCTTTCACATCTACCACTCCTCAACTCCTTAACACTATAACTTTGTTTTGTATCCGAAAGTTTTCTGGACCATCTGTTCAACTATCTTGGATTTACTGTATCGAACTAATTCTAATAATTTTTTTTTTATTTTCCACTAAGCTTTTTCTAACGCTAAGTTCGGCCCTTTTGCTTCCCATATCAATTTGTAATTGCAGATCGGAAACGGGCGCATCAGCATGGAATAGGAATATGTAACGTCTTTCTATTGGATACATCAGCCAGCATGGGAGGGGAAGGCTTCCATCAACTTAAGAGGGCTTTTACAGACATTATTAATGGTTAAAACAATTACTTCAAGACAAATGTCATATTTTGTATATGCATATTACTATTATTAAACACTAATTTAACATTTATGCTAGAGAACACATACAAATATTCAATAGACAAATGCATTTACAAGTTACATTAGGAAATTGGAACTCTTTTAAGATCCTCAAGACAAATAAAAGAAGATTCAGAATATTTCAACGCGACAAAATATTCATACCCTGCATCTTTTTGCATATTAATCAATCAATCAACTCAAAGAACTTTTAAGAGTCTCGTATCATTTTCAGCTACAAATGAATAAATTAACTGCAGAATGCTTTTTCTGCACAGTTGAAATTAAGAAAACTTGGTTTCAATTTAAGAATGTCCTTTCATCATTTGCATGTTTTTTGTTATAATTCACAGAATTCAGTGCTCATTCATACGATGAAAATGTTGCTGTCATTGCATTCGGAGAGGAAGTCAAGTTCTTACATTATTATTCTCACGACTACGAATCTGTTAAACAAAGTCTTGGTATTTTATGACTATTACATGATTATATTTGAAAAGCGTTTGATAATTCATATATTCGTTTAATGCAAAATCAAATAAATCATACTAACAAATGATTTGAAGCCAATGTTCTTGCTTTGTAAAGTTCCCTTTCAAACTTTAGCTAATGTGGAATGCAGTGGCAGTTCTCCTTTGGAAGCAGGTATCCGTTTGGCTTTGTCCTGTTTGCTTTATGGAGGAGGTAAGAGCCTACAATCTAGTCTCATAATGTTAAATTGTGGAAACACACCACAAAAAGATGTGCATTTATATAGAGGCATACCAAATAAAACTATTCTTAAGCGATTCGAAACTTTAATTCCTACATTTAGCCAACATTGATCAGCTTCAAAAAATCCCTACACAATGTCTATGTGGTTTTTGGAGACAAGGTCGTCAAACAATGTATAAGTAATCCCTTTGGTACGAAGTGGGCCCCATGATAAGCTGACATATTTTTGTTTTCATATAAAGCAGAATTTGCCCACAATCGTATACGTGACAAGAAAAAACCACTTACTGTGCCTTCAACTCGACCAGTTAGTTTTGTATAATTGACATTTGTGCTTGAATACAGCTCGTTATCTAAATAATCCATATATTTCATTGTATGGAATAAAAGAAGGAAACTTGCATACATTTCCATCTTAAATAGTTTTCCATAATTAAAAATATAATTATAAACATAGTTAAGAACCTACAGTGTAATACCTCATTTGAGAGTGGAAAATTTAAGATGAAAATTTAAGAGATGCCTTAATCGGCGAATAAGTTATGTTTGTTTTTTTTAAGATTTCAAAAAGATTTAGAAGATTTCAAAGCGTATCTGCTGCATTTAACAATTTGTGTAATCCTTTGCTAGGACATTTTGCAGCCTTCAAACACAACTTGAAAGTAGCTGCAAGGTTGATAATTATTTCGGATGGATGGCCGTCAACATCTGCTGAGATTGGGGGCCCTGAAATAGACAGATTCAGCAAAGAATCGTTTTACGACGGGGTAATGATTGATTGATTGTTTATTGTATAACACCGAGTCGCAATATTTCAGCTATATTACGGTGGATGATGAAGTAATGTGTTTTTTCATAACAAAATTTTCTTGGTGTAAATCAAACAGATAATTTATCAACTTTCGTAAGATTTAGTTTCACTATAAGTTGCCTGATTTATGAAAATCAGTCAACATCATGATCAACACCCATTACAACTTTTAAGAATTTAGACAGTGTTTTTCTTCTGATTTTAGACCATAGAGAGATTGCAATCACTAATCAAAGCAATAGGAAAAATTAATCCTATTGTATGTATTCCAGTTGGACCTGATCCAAATGTTGTACGTCATAATTAAAAATTTTATATTTCTATCTCCTTTTCGCTGTTTCTGAGTTTCGTTGATATTTTCCTGATAGTTTTTTTCTTGCATATCATTCTAACATCCCCATCAAAAGTTTCATGGGTGCTTTCATTTTAAAACAAGTTTGGTCCTTTTTTTAGGAATTCTTAAAGGGCTTAGTGCAGCTATGCAGGCGAGGTAGGCTTTTAAATCATAAAGATTCCTGTCAGTGTGGAAGGTTGGCTCTACACATGGTAAGCTAGATAGATGACAAATAATGTTTCTTTCAAAGGATTTATAGCTCCAAGTTCAAAAGATATTTAAATTCGTAATTTCAGAGAATGATTACTCATGTTTTGGATATAAAACCAAATGGTCAAATAACACGTCAAGATATTGGAAGAATTGCAAGATTTTCCAGCGTAGGAACTGAATTCACTGAACATGATTTGGTATAAACCTACTGTTGATCATTATTGTTAAATTATTTGTTTAGTTAATAACTTTATAGTAAAAATTAGTCTCTTTTAGTTTTTTAACACTATAACTGTTCATGCATTCATTCAAAATCTACATGCATTAATAATAAATTAGTTGTATTCTTAAACAAAAAGTCAATAAAATTATATCATTTGTTAATTTCAAATTAGGAGGACGTCTTCAATATAATTGATAGTTTATATGCATACAAACTACCCACTGAAGAAGATCTAAACCCTGACGAAGATGTCTTTACTGAACGTTATTCAAATCTTCCTAAAATTGGTACAAGAGTTAGACGAGTACCACACTGGACCTATAAAAATCAAGATAGTAATGGACCGGGAACAGTGATTGGGCACTCAGAGAATTGTACGAAAATCCTATCAATTTCTTTGTTGATATGTATTCAATTTAAAAGAAAATATAAAGTCTACTTTGTCTCATTTAAAAACATGTTCAGATATTTCATAAGTACTTTAAAAGTTTTTGAGAATAAGTTTCTGTTTATAATAATGTTTTGTTTAGTTGGTTGGGTTATAGTGGAATGGGACAACGGTGATCGGTTGAGTTACCAGTACGGATTTGATGGTATGGTTGAAAAGTATGACATCGCTACTTCCGAAGAACCAAGAATTCTCGAAAATGAATTGATAGCTGTTGGTTGCTTAGTTACAAGAGGTACATATAAATATAATTTGAATAAATAAATTGCCTTTAGATAATTTTTTTAAAAAATATGTTTTTAAAATTTAACCATAAATAACCTCCTTTTAAACATTATTTTTATGATTTTAAAATACATTTTAAAGAAGTTTCACAAATGTATCAGCTACAGGTCAATGTATGTATATCTCAATCTTCAATGAAAAAAGGGTCTTGATTGGAAATGGGGAGATCAAGATGGCGGCGAGGGTAATGTAGGAACAGTATATAGAGTCGAAATGGATGCTGTTGTTTATGTGCGTATATACATTTTTATGCCAACCAAGTATTAATGAATTATATCCAGCCAGAATCCGAGCTTGTTTTGGGAAAATTAGACACAATACCCATATTGTGTGGAAAGGTCACTTATTCACAAAAGTACATATCTCATAATATTGAATATTATATAATAGGCATTCACCGCAATCATTCCGTCTGTATAATTTTCCCTCGCATTTCCAGAAATATAATAAAGTTCATTTCCTTCTGTAAATAAAATGATAAAAGCCGGAAAAATATTATGTTTGTCAAGTTAAACCGACAGGTTCATTTAGAGAGGAATCTTTTACATCAGAAACCATGAATAATAAAACAACAAACATTTCAATTATAAAACAGAAGTTATTGGAAATTCAGGAAGGGGTATCTACGGAGATGTTTCTTCACCAACATCTTGATATTTTGAAGAAGTGGAACGAAAACGTGTCCGACAGATATCTATTTAATACTATTCTGATCGTGATTGGATTTCTCATTGGGGTATCTGGAAATTTTCTAGTCATTATCATTTATACATTTAAATTTAGGAAGCATGGTAAAGGAAGATATTTCGTTCTACCCCTAGCGTTTGTGGATTTGATTGGATTGCTCGTTACAGGATCGTTCAATCTCATTCGAAATACAATGTATGCAACATTTCCAGGACAATGGACATGCAAATTGTTCATGTATGGAAGCTACGTTGCGAGTAGTCTTTCGCTTGTACTTTTGAACGTGATTGCTCTCCAGAGGTATCAAAAAATATGTACACCCTTCTCAAGACAAATGACACATTTTCATTTGAGGGTTTCTCTGTTTGCTTGTTTTGTCATCAGTCTTTCGCTCAACATTCCATGCATGATTGTCTATGACATTGTTGATGTGGCTGATCCATACTCGGGTAATGAAACAGGACAGGTGTGTCATAAGAAATCTCAAAATCCTACTTTAGGATTAAAGATACACCAGGGCATATCTGCAATATCTTTTATAAACGTTTTTTGCATCGCAATTCTGTACATCTTGATCGCTAACAGGATTTTCAGAAGAGTAAATATTAATAATTTCAAACGAAAGAAATGTGACAATGAGCAGCAACAAAACACTGTATTTGCTTCTATCTCAACAAATTTTGACGCCGATCACAAATCAAGTGAAATGTGTTCCATGCCAAACTCAACGAAAGATGATATTGATAATGAGTCGCCGGAAGTACGGAAACACATGGGGAAATCACGGAAAGATTCCAGAAAGCGGTTGTCTGTTATGTTTATGGTCATTTCCTTCACGGCCATCATCTCTTATCTTCCTTCGTGGATACTTATAATGATTGAGACCTATAACCCTGGTTTCTGGGAAGGACTCTCGAGTCCACTTTTTGAAATTTGCGTCACCCTTAGACGGATGTATATCTTAAATCATTTGTCCAATCCATTTATATATGGTATTTATGATCTTGAATTTCGACAGCACACTAAAACTATAATGAGGAAGTTTATGTGTAAATGATGTTTATTAATTAATTTTTATTAACAGGTGAACATTTTTGAAAAAAAAAACATTTCAAGTTTATATATTCATTCAATTTGCCTTAAATAGAGGCTCAAATTAACCTTCCATCATTTTTGTAACACTTTGCTTAATTTATATTGTAATTATCATCAATATAAAAGAATCTTGTCTTGCATATCAGTAGTAATTTTAACACATTGTATGTTGCATTGGGATCTCAAAAAATATAGCTAGAATGAAAATGTCACTTACTAAGTATAAAATTAATTTAATTAATAATTTTTTTTATTTTTAACACACATGAACAGTTATCAAGCTCAATAGTCCATTGTAAAAGCAAAATAAATCTGACGCAAACAAAACACAGAGCTCTCAACGCGCAGACATGGGAGTTTACTAAATGTTTACATTTCCAATCTTATTATTATTATTATTTGAGACACACCAAAAATCATTGCAAATAATGACTTAACAGCGATGAAAATTGTCAGACAGCATTCAACTTCATGATACATTATTAACAAAAATATTTCAAATAAAACTTATAAATATATTTTATTTCCTCTCTTTCCTTACATGTATTTATTTGAGACAACTTTTATAAAACTAAGCTATTTCAAAAAAAAAATAGTCAAAGGTTTCTCTATAGTATATACTCAAATTTTAATTGTGGAGAAACATAAATGCAGTCCAATTAATATTTAGGTAAAATGGCCCAATGGCAATCGAAGTAACTACAGATATGGATACGAAAGCAAGCATGATGTGCAGCTGTGGTAAAATGTTGTGTTACATTATCATTTAAAAAACCTAACTCAGCTGCTTAATCAAGCAGTCAATAAAAAGATAAAATGTAACTTTCGAAAATTAATAATTTGTTGAAAACTATGAATGAAATAAAGTGTTTTAGGTTGTTCTGATTCTCTTGCAGTGATCCATTTGAGTCGTGTCTTCTCTCAGCACCAGTTGAAAAATTCTAATCGTTTTGAAGGTGAATAATAACAGTAATTCTTTAAACTCAGCAATTATTTGACGGAATTTATCGAGAAATAATAAAAACAAAGCATGCGTTTTCACCTGGTATTCATATTAAGAAAGTACGTATATATGGTTCCTTGAGTGAAATAATAAAAAAAAGTTAAAAAATTATGTTATATTTTATATTTTTTGATGTTGTCAAATTACAAGAATTGGTTTTATTTTTAACAAAATATGATAAAGAAGAAACAAAAAAACTAAATGGGATTATAATTGGATGCCTTTTTCACTGAAAGACAGTGAAAACCATTCAAAAGCAGAATGCAGCTCTAAAAATGAAATTAAGATATCGAGAAGATATGAGAGTCGTGAAAAAGGTTTAAAAGGACACACCCCTAATAGACGATGGCAGTGGAAAGATTCTTCTGGAAAATGGAACGAATACAGTGATGAAATAAACAATAAAATAGAAGACTGTTACAGAAGAAGACCTGAATCATCTGTTGTCTTTAACCTCAATGGACGTTTGTAAGTCATTTTTACTGTTTAGTACGTTTAAAGAAATAAATCATATTTTAGAAATACATTATAATCAATAGATATTGATTATATGATCCTGAATATGTTATTGATAAACGCCACAGCAATATTTTATTATGGCGATTATTGTTTTTATCCGGAAACGTATTTTAGCCCCAGCATGCTTTATTATCTTTATTTTCACCTGAGTAATCTCAGGGTTATATTTCTATCCGTTTTTCGGAAAGAAATTGTAGGCGTCGTGCAGTAACATTTAAAATTTTCAACTTCATCTTTGAAACCGATGAACCAATTTCAACCAATTTTTGCATATAGAATCTTTTTGTGAAGGGAAACAAAAATTGTAAATTTCGACGTCCTTGATATATGTGTGGGGCAAAAACCATAAAATTAGTGCAATCTTCAAAAATCTTCTTCTTTACTTTGGACATGAAGCAGTCAAACTGTTGGTATGATTGTAATCAGCATTGAGTCCTCTACCGAAATTGTGAAATTCATGGCCCCAAGATTGGAGGTTCTTGTGCTAACGGGACTCATTGATTATATAGTGAAAATGCATTATTTCTTCAAAAATATTCTTCTCTGTTCCTGAGTATTTTAAACTAATAAAGTACATAGTTATGATGAAAGAGTGTCTCTAAATAAATTATGAATCTTATGGCCCAAGGGTCAGGGGTTATGGTGTTAGGACGGGCCTCTATTGATTATATAGTGAAATGCATTAAATCTTTGAAAATCTTCTTCTCTGCTCCTATGTATTAAATAAACTAACCAAGTACATAGCTTTTTGCTGCTACCAAAATTGTGAATTTTATGGCCCCAGGGTCAGTGGTTCTGGTGTTAAGGCGGGGCTCTATTGATTTAACAGTGAACATGTATTTATTTTATTAAAAGATTCTCCTCTGGATCTGAGTATTTTTTTAACTTTTTAAGGACATAGTTATGATGAGCAAGAATACTTCTACCAAAATTGTGAATTTTATGTTCCCATGTTCAGGGGTTATGGTGTTAGGGTGTGACTCTATAATGATTGTCAAATGAAAATACATTACATCTATGAAACTCTTTTTCTCTACTCCTGGGTAATAAGCAGATAAACTATTTATAAAGTTATGATGTGAAAGGGCTCTTAATCAAGAATTGTGAATTTCAAGGCCCCTGGGTCAGGGATACCAAAGAGGGGGGGGTCTCTACTTATATACTGAAAATAAATTGTTTGAAACCTGCTCCTTGGTATTAATCAAACATTTTTGATAAGCAAGTGTGCCTTTTCAAAAATTTGCAATGTATAGACCTAGGGTCAGGGGTTCATGTGTGGTAGGAGCACTCCTGTTTATAGCTGAATATTACTGATTAGTTGACATTTTCAACTTTGCTTATGGGTATTTAGTAAACAAACTAAACAAATGCTAAGTGTATAATTATTTTTAGCAATGGTGCCTCTTTCAAAATTGTGAATGATATAATATCTAGCTTAAAACATGAACCAAATTCAATCACTTGAAAGTTGTTGCATGATGCTCAGGTGACCTATAAGGCCAATGGGCCTTTGTTTCTTAACCGAAAATGTAAACAGGTCGTATTTTTCATTTCCATAGATGCAGGATTATATTTCAAAAGAGGAAACAAATAGACACTCTTTCCAAATCAATAACAGTTATATATATGAATAAGATTAAAAAAAACTTCAGTTTGCTATGAATATTGTTGTCCTTGATATATGTTGTAGACATACAATGTGAATAAATTTAAACTACACTGCCTTGCTTCTTATAAGATTCGAGGGTCATTAAAAACCCATAGAAAACGTCATCGGTCTTGTTCAGATTATTTCTATGAAATTTAACATCAACACTTAATGTAAAATGTAAAACCATTAAATTTGATAAATATGTGAAATTTCATTTGTTTGGAACTCTGTTTTAAAGACATCATGTCTTATTCCTCACGGTTTTAAATTCTAAGAAAATAATTAAATCTGTAATATAATGTGATTTGATGTTTTAATTCATATTATTTGGATACATTTGTTGTATTTCAATTAACTGTGACTTTTATATGACGATACATGAAACATTATGACAAAAATCTCCCGCACATTTCTTATAATAAAAATACATTTTTGGAAGCTAAATTCTCTTGATAGATAAAAAGATTAAAATTATATATATGTGTTCATCTGTATTAAAGCAGTGTCAGTATCAAATAAAAGTGTAAAAATATTTTTAACGTACAATTTTCATTAAATTGCTTCAATTAATACATGTATTTTTTGGCCCAACCCGGCGTGTTGGTGCCTTTAATGTTATAAAGCCTTCATTGTCAAAAACTTTTAATGAAAATACAATCACTTCCTTATCAAAATAACATCAAATTTATTTCTTACAAAGAGCAAATATAAAGCTTGGGACTAATAATTAGTCACTAAGGTTGGAATATCGGCTTAATGAATGAAATCAAAGTCAAGATGCACAATGCATTTTGATAAAAGATGCTTTTTTTGTCATCCAGCTGAATATATATATGTGTATTCCTTTCTATATTTCCTGTTTATAGCTTGGGACTCACAAGGAAATATTTTCATCATAACCAAATTGAAGCAAATATAAAGAGACTTGAAGCTTTTACAAATAAAGCGAATAAAATGGTTACAATTACTGTTCCGATGAATAAGTGAAGACACATTTTTCCATGGCCGGTCGTATTGAGGAACATTCTTTGGCAAGAAGATTAAGTAGAGAATCTAAGGAGCGTAAGTGATCCTATACTCTAGTGAAAAGCTATTCAATTGTGATTAATATTTTACATCAAATTCACAATTGTTTACTCGGATTTTTTTTTTTTTGGTCTTCTCTTATCTTGTTATATACACTGTACATGCATGTATTGTTGGAGGCCCTAATGGAGGCCGTAATGGTCCGAGAGTCATGCCCCTTTATTTTCCTCGAGCATCTCGCAAAATTTATTTTCATTTGGGTTGCTTTCATAATATTTTACAACTGCTGATGACGATTAAAGTATTTAAAACAGATATGGTCTGAAACAAAAAATTACCTCATTTAGCATAAATTCTCTTTAACCGCACGTGTTAGAAATAAAGTCTTAAATAATTTTCCTTATGGCTTGTCTTATGTGTATTGGTGCTACTATTTGCATTGTTTACATTACCTCAATAGAAGCTCCTTATGCGATTCGGAATATTTTTGGACCATATAATGTTTTCTTTTACACTGAGGTCACGACCCTAGGACATGTTATTCAAAATGGCGCTTAGGACATGATCAGGTTAGGATATTAACTCATGAACCTGTGAGGATAATATAATGTCATGGCAAAAATTTCAATTTGATTTTAACTACGGTATTGAACCTTACTTTTCAAGGTTCAAAAATAGTTTTAAGTTTGTCACATTACATGGTCATAGAGTTTATTGTATTATTCAAAAATACAAAATTTACTGCATTTTTAAGCATAGAATAAAGCTCAATGATATGTCTTCGTTGGTAAAACGATAAAATTATAAAATTAATTTTATTTCTGTTAAATCTAATTGGATATAGTTTTGATTTATTTTGAATATATTTTTATGAAGATCGCAAAAGAAAACAAACAAAAGGTCCTGGAGCAAGCAATCTATTCATATTGGATGCATCAGAGAGAATGAAAGGAAAAGGGTGTCGACAAACGCAGAAGGCTTTTTCATCCATTACAGAAGGCATATAAGTTTCAATAGACTACTTCTAAGTTATACCCGCACTTTCTTACTTATGTCCGTCCGTCCGTCCGTCCGTAACACTTTTCTTGCCTTAAATCCTCCTACATTTTACACAGTAGCTTAATCATCCTTTTGGAGATGGTTGGTGGTGTCATGTACATGTGAAGTAAAGTTTCGGAATTTTGATTTTGCCCCGGGGGGTCAAATGGGGGTCGAAAAATGACGTTTTTTATGCAAAAAGTCCCGTCTTCCCTGAACTCCTTCTACATTTTACTCAGCAGTATAATCACCTTTTAGGAGATGATCGGTGGTGTCATGTAGATGTGCAGTAAGGTTTCGGAATTTTGATTTTGCCCTGGGGGTCAAATGGGGTTGAAAAATGACGTTTTTTTATGCAAAGAGCCCCATCTACCCTGAACTCCTTTTACATTTTACACAGTAGCCTAATCATCTTTTGGGATATGGTTGGTGGTGTCATGTAGATGTGCAGTAAGGTTTTGGAATGTAGATTTTGCCCCGGGGGGTCAAATAGGTGTCGAAAAATGATGTTTTTATGCAAAAAGCCCTGTCTTCCCTGGACTTCTCTTACATTTTACTCAGCAGCCTAATCATCTTTTGGGAGATGGTTGGTGGTGTCATGTAGATGTGCAGTAAGGTTTCGGAATTTTGATTTTGCCCCAGGGGGTCAAATGGGGGTCAAAAAATTATGTTTTTTTATGCA